CTGCATCACCTGAAACCTTAATAAACACTACAGATTTGATCAACGTGACCTTTTCACTAGTTTTCCACTTCAGAAGCCACATAATTGTCAGGTTAGTTCAGAATTTGTCGGTGATTTACTGTACTGCCTCCTGACAGTTGAAGGTATTATTAGTCATTTGAAACCATCTGCAATTCACAATAGAAACTCCCATGTTCCACGTTGAAGGCGGCGGAGCTCGGCCTATTGGAGGCCACCATTCCAAATGTGATAATATTCTATATTTTCTAAGTAGGAAAAGGTTTGTTTGAATTAGAATCAAGCTAAGAGGAGCAAAACAAGTGCACATCTGAATTATGAACCCCATAGTCATACCTAATAATAAGTGGGGAAGGTTATCTAGCAGCAGGGGATGACTTCTGAAGTATCTGGTGACTGATTTCTCAGGAACATACCTGCAAAGGAAGAGCATGGCTTGTTTGTTGTAGGGCAGAGAAGAGCGCAGGTTAGATCAAGAAGATAAACGTGTGCAAGCCGAGGAATTTCAATCATGTAGCAAGACTGATCTGTGCCGCAGAACCACAGCCGTGCTCCAGGAGTTTCCCCTGGGGGAAGACGTGTAATGCCATGCTCTTAAAAAAACAAGTACTGTAGCTGCAGCTCAGCTGCATGTACCCTGAGTGTGTGCCTGACCATTGAAACCAGAAGACATGTAAAGAAGCCACTGCAACAGGATGAAGACATCTGACACTAAACAAAAAAAACCAAGGAGCTCAACCTTAGCGTGCTACAAAAACGACTGTGGGAGATTTCCATTTACATTTTCAGATGGCTTTATCCAGTAAAGGGCTGCAGGGTAGATGGAGCCTTTTCACAGCAATCAATGGGCTTGAGGCAGGGTACACCCTGGATGGGACGCCAGTCCATTGCAAGGCACACACAGACACAAACACCCTCACACTCAACAGGGCCAGTTTTCCCAGGAGCCAATTAACTAACCATTAGCCTAATTACCTTTGGACTCTGGGAGGACACAGGAGCACCCAGAAAAAACGCATGTGAACATACAAACTACAGACGGGTTTGGACTAGGCTGGCAGGGTGTTGTGAGTGTGTCTGTGTCTGTGTGCGCTGTGATGGACTGCTGTCCTGTCCGGGGAGAATCCTGCCTTGTGCCTGTTGCTTGCTGGGTTCGGCTCTCCCCCGCAACCCTGTACTGAGTCTCTAAATATGGGGTCAGCTGTACAAATGTTGTTTTTGCATGAATATTTTAAATGAACTTGAACAGATCATTAGAAAGACAGTGATAGCCTTTCATAGCGAATGCCTGCTCAAAGCAGATAGTAGATTGCTATTAGCTTTGTGCATATGGAGTTTGAATTATCGTGTGTTTGCTGGCAGTTGCTAAGCAGCAGTAATGCTGAGGCCATGTGTTGTGAGGGACCAGGATGCCAGCGGACTGAGTTTCAGAGATGATGTCCTGTCCAGGGTGTACCCTGCCTTGTGCCCGTTGCTTGCTGGGATAGACACTGGCTCTTCCGCAGCCCTGTATTGGAGAAAGCGGTAAGAAAATGGAAGAATGGAAAATGGTTAGAAAAGTTAGGAAACGTGTGTCTCTCCACAGAGGCTGTCTGCAGCTAAGCATCTACTGAAGAAGAAACACATTTGGAGATGTGTGCATATTGATTTTGTACTTCTATTTTGGGTTCATTGGATTAAATCTGAAAAACCGTCTACCCCTCAGAAATGATAATGGCACATTTTAAAGCTTGACGTGCATTCTCTTTTATCTGCACAGTGAATATTGAGAAATCCCTCTTGACTTTATCTTGTGCAGACTCAAGATTGTTTCAGGTGTTTGTTTCAACACGCACAGTATGAAAGAAGTTCAGCTTTAGCTTAGGTGTCAGCTTTCGTTAAAATATTTTGTTGGAGTCGACATTGTGGAGTGGTAGATTATTAAGAACTGCTTTAACCCTTTTATCTTCTTTTGATTTGGATTACTCAAGTAATTTGCATTGCTTGAAAATCGTCTTGTCAGAAGTGTAGACTAGGCCATTTTGGGGATTTTCCTGTAAAGCCTGTGATTTTCCTGAGAGAGCCCTTAACGCTATTCAATTAACAAAATATAGATAGAGGGTAGTATTTCAATACCCCATGTCTTCCAAATACTGTTTATATGCACAGAGCCGGGTTCAGTTCCAGCTTGGAGCACCTCCTTGGTGGAATTTGCACGTTTTCTCCTGAGTGCTCCAGGCTCCTCCCAGCTTCTGAAGACACACTGGCTACGCTTAGTGGTGCCCGACAATAGACTGGTGCCCAGTTCAGCTAGCCGGGGTGCAGTCCTGTAGGATCCTGCCTGGGGTTCTGGGGTCGCTGGTGTAGGGGTGCTCTCTGCGGGACTGTTCTGACATGCTCAGCTGAAATACCTGTCCCGGACGGTTGCTCAACAGACAACAGAGCTTTAACACGCTAGATGTGTTCATGAGGAATTGTGGCCGCGAGGGGAAAAAACTGGCAGATGTACAATTTGTGGTAGAATTAAAAACAAATTCCAATAGTGTCTGAGGAGCACAACGAAGAAGGGGAAACTCAGCAACAGGGATGAAAACATAATTATAGTGATACCTTTATTTAAGAGACACTTGAAATGCCCTGGGTTCTGAGAGTGCTGTCTTCCTGTTGAGTGTGACTGGGTATGGTGGGTGTACAATGTAATTGGATGAAGTTACTCCTGGAAGCAGCCCCTGTAGTTTGCTGCCGGCTCTTTCTTCAGTGATGGTGCTGTAGGTTTGTTTGAGCAAGCTGGCTCAGAGGGGCAAGGGGTATGAGCACTGTTGGCCGGGAAGTGTACACAGTGGCTTTCACTGGAGTGAATGAGAAGTGTGTATGATGCAAGTCATGACGTGAGAGTCGGGGAAAAGCTGTGAGTCGAACCATTAATCCCGAGATCAGGCGAGAAGGGAACTCTGTGGTGGGCAGCAGAAGATGTTGTGCAGAAGATACTGTGCAGGTTTGTAAATATTGGCTGCAACGTATTTGGCTGACACCTTAGAAACGGAGATCTTAGAAATAATTCTTATGTTGATTTAAGTTCTTGGGCAATCAAAACCCAGAAACCCTAAATGTTAGCTCCTGTTCAGTTTTCAGAAATATTTCCCCAAAAGTGGTATTATCAGAGTTTAGCTAAGCTGTTCTGTGCATGTTTGACACACCAGACCGCGCTTTGGTTCGTTTAAAATAACAGGCTGTCAGCTGCATTGTCCCACATTTGCAAAGTGTGCTTTCCACAGCGATCTGACAGTCCAGTCCTGTCGCAGTCTAGAGAGCCGGCTCAGCTGGAGATGTGCGTGATGATAGTGTGCAGGCAGATCAATGAGCCAGACCTTCAGCCAAAAACAGGAAACGAGTGTTTGTGCAGGGCTCATTCTGCCGGCTCATGTAGGTTCAGCTTCAGCAGGGACAGCCCTGGGTGCTTCCTGGAGTTTCAGCACTAAAGGAATCATTCACAGTTTAAATAATCCCCTTTTCAGAGAAGTCTAGACATCTTGGATGTGATTTACTGAGCCCTCTGCTGCAGACATAGTCTTCAGAAAGTTCAGAAGCCAAACTGCGGTGTTTCGTACTTTTTTCTTGCAAAACAAAGTTACAAAAGAAGTGCTTAAAGAAACCAGTATTTACATAAGTATTTCATTTTTTTGTTCTGTTGAACGGCTGTCGGCTTCGACAACATGAATGGGCAGCTTGTTCCATTCTCCTGAAGGAACCTGTGACTGTTAGCAGTTAGGTCCTCAAGAAGTGCTTCCCTGTTTCGTGCTCTCCTGGCTGGCCGAGGTTTCTTCAGGCACCCTCGAGTGGAGCTGTAGCTCATGCGTCCTACGTGTGATTTAGCAATGTGTGATGAAAGGAAACAGGGTCTCGGCTGATTAGGGTCTTGGTTGATTGCCCGAGGGTGACCTCACTGCCAACGTTCTGACCTTGTTTACACATTATATGGTACAAAAGTGCTACTGACCAGTCATAAATGTGTTTTTTTTGTATGCAAAAATTTGCACATCTTCCTGTTCTTAGGAACGTGAGTGAGAGACGAGGTTAACCTGTTACCTTCATCTGTCAACCTTTTCTTTATTGCAATAAAGAAATCAGCTTGATTCACCAGAATTGTATGGATTACTGAGTGTGGTCGCACACTCCCTCAACCATAGTGTGTAAAAAAGTGTTTTAAATTTCCACTTGTTTCGCTGCTGATTATGAAGAAGGGTAAATTGTTGATGTAGTGAAGAATTACACAATCCTGTATCAGGTCCTTCTCTGTTCAGGACTCAAGAAGTCCTGTTCCTTTAGCCCGTCAATGTGTCTGGCTCTCTGGACTGGTTCGAGAGCAGCCTTTCTTTTTTGTACTGTTGTGACCAGAGCTGTACATAGTATTGGTGTTGTGTAAAATGTTAACCACTCTGGATTTGAATTTTACACTTTGAAACATAAGCTTGAGGGTTTCTCCTCAGCAAAGAGAAAAAAAGTCTTGGTAATGGTCTGTCCTGGGTCCTTTGCGGTCTGGCTGCCAGGGACTTATGGGCTCTAACAAACTCTCTGCACCAAGGAGGACCTGCAGGATCTGTGAATGAGAGCAGATCTCCTCTTTGTGCAAGACTTGACCGAAGTTGACCTAAGCACTTTAGAGACCCACTCTGTGGATAAAGTACTACATTTGTAAAGCACAGACATTGAAGTGTGTTAGTTTTGTCTACAGGAGCGTAGTAGTGAAGTTGGATACAAATGTGATTTCATTGGCTAAAGAGGAAAAGTGAATCTGGAGGCAGTCAAGACTGCACCTCGGGTCCATCTGACATGATGTCCTGCCACACAGAAACCTTACTTCCTGAATCACAGCACTAGAACACAGCCCACCACTGGGCTCTGTGTTTTATTATCTCCACTCCGTTTCTCAAGTGAATTTTCTGCCCAAAGCAGCATCTTGTAAATTGAAAAATGATGTGTTTTTCAGAATAAACATTGCAGCCATGGGAAGCTGTTACTTTCCCAGCCCGTGACAGTAACTGACGCAGGAGTAGGGCAGCAGAGACTGGAGATCCTCCCTCTTCCTGGTGCTGTACAGCCCCTCTCCCTCTCCCACTCCCATCTCACTTTACAGCCAGTTTGAAGGGGAGAAAGGTTCGTTTACAAACAAACTTTTGGGAATTCTTCACCCAGATAATTTACCAGAAAACAAGGAAAAGGTTTGTAGTAGTAATTTCCAGTTAGTTGCACTTAAGCACATTTCTCTGTTTGTTTGCTTCATAGGTTTGGGAAGAAAAATGATTGTGATTATTTTATTTTGCAAAGAGCTGGGAGCAGCTCAAAGGAGAATGGTTATATTGTCCTTTGTACGTGGGAGATTATTATTTTTTTGTGCTTTCAAAGCTAACATTAGGCAGCCCACGTTACAAATGTCAAGGGTGTTGCATGTTTCTTTTGTTGCGACTATTGTAACTCTTGAACTGACCTTTGTAAATGATGTTACTCAATGGCTTCCTTTGGCTGAAATGTGGTCTCGGTATCTGAAGCTGAGTGAACTTGTTGATTGTGTCATGGTTTGTTGGGTTATTTCAGTGAGTCAGCAGTTTCTCTTTCAACATACAGTACACAGCCGTGGTGGGATGAGAACGAGTCTAGCAGGGACAGCATGACAGCCTTTTTACTGTGTTCGTTTTTTCCCTCTACTGGTTCAATTGCTGTTGAACATGGCCCTTTTTAACAATACAATTATGCAATTAAGGATCAATAACCAAAGACTTTTGATGATGCATTTTTTGAACCCACCTGTTCTGTATGATTCTGTGTCACATTCTTTGTGATCCCATTCCAGATTTTCCCTGTTTACTCCTATGGTATGCTGTTTACTCCTATTTTTGTCCTTCACACAGTTCAGCCAAAATTGATGTCAGAGAGCCAGATCAATCCATACAGATCAGCACTGGGTTTTCAGTATAGGACATCTGTCACAGACATGATGTTAAGCTTCAAAATCTAATCAAATCTTGCCTGTGGTAATTCCATCACCAAATCTATTTAAATGAGGTGCGTGCCAGAGAACCACAAGTTAGGTCTGTGTCACAGGCTTGAAAAAGTAGCCTTTTGTTTTTTTTTAAAGACATTTGAAATGGCTGTGGCATGCCTTATGGCCACAGCTACAGACCTGTTTAATTTTTTATTTTTCTGTTTGTGCATTCAGTGTTACTGCAGTGTCATTTCATCAGTTCTGTATTTTTAATCTGAGTAATTTATCTTGATCCATGTTCTGTATCAAATGGTAGAGACGTTTTTGTTCAGCTTGGTCAGTTATTCTGATTACAAGTTGATTTGATATGCGGTTGATATCTGTTTTCATCAGGCAGCACATCCAGATGTGTTCTGTCAAAACTCTGGGCTGTCGTAACTGTTCGTTTTTTTAAAAAAAACGTATTTTAATTTTAAATGTGTAGTTTGGAGGTATGCATTGTTCTTCTAGCTTAGCCTGTATCCATGCTTCTTTTCCATCGTAAGGCAGTAAAGCAATTGAACAAACAGCTAAAACCTTTTTTCCTTGAAGCAAGGCTCTTGGGAAATGTTTTGGCACAGTTTTCGAAGACTCCCACTGTAAATCATTTACATGTGGTTCCAGAGCCACTGATAATGTGCTGTTAAGCAGACCACACCCATTGTTTCCCAAAGCAGGGCTGAAGTGCTGTGATCTATAAGAGCACTTGTGTGTGTTCTTGCTTACTTGCTTAACGATTCATTGCAAGTTTATTAGCTAGAGCGACTGTTAAGCAAATGAGAATCAAAACAGTCTTACAGGAAATCATTTTATTTTTTATTTCTCTCCTTTTCTTTATTGTTGCTTCAGTAGTGAATTCATACATTTTTTCCTGTCCTTTTTGCTTCAATAGCTCTGTATTTTTTCCTCTCAAGAATTCTTGTAATAGAGGCTCTCCAGGGCTGAGCACGAGGTGGTGATCTGCAGGGGTATCCCAGTCAGGCATTGATCATGTGGTTTCTTGATGTATTTAATTACTAAATACTTTACAGTGAATCTAAACTGCTTCCAACAGCATAGTGCTTTTTTCCACAACCAGTACAGTATGTCCCTGCACTGGCTGCTTCAGGCTTTGATCGCTCAGGGACATGAATACCAGTCGGGTACTAAGTAGCCTTGCAAGCATCCTCTAATTTGCTGGGGGGTAATGGACCATTGGGATGCAATATCAGGAATTATGTAGCTAATTTATGTGTTTTTTTGCTCTATGAAACGTGCAAAGATGCATAATAGACTGGAAACATAAGAACCGGAGCGCTGCCGGTGTCGACCATGGTGAGTGTACACCAGCAGCACAGACACGCGTCAGATGCACATGGTCAGACACCACAAGCGTTTTCAGGCACAGCTTTTGGCTGGAATAGTTTGTTAGCATTGTACAGATCGCTCAAAGCAGGAAATCGAGAGAACAACAGAGTATATCGAGACAAGAAGTCTATCGTTTTAAGTCTGCTTGGTCTTATAAAAGAGTCTTATGGCAAACCAATGTGGGGTTGTTCAGTGTTCCCATGTCCCCTCCCAGCCCCGTGGGGAAGTTCTCCCTGTGCCTCAGTTCGTCAGGCCTTGTCGGGCAGATAGTTGACCTGTATCAAGTACTGCAGTGCTGGTGTCTGCTGAGCTTTGTGATTGGCATTGTGCTGCAGCCCTATTATCTTTGTCTCCAAAATGTTACGTTTTCTATGGTCAAAAGTACTTGAAAAGTGATTGTTTTACCTTTGTTTAATCATTTTGTTGCTTTTGCCTCTGTAAGTTGCTCTGTACTATCAGACGCTTCAGTGTTGTAGTTGCTATGTTTCGCGAACAGCCACAGCTTCCATTCAACATGTGCACACTTTTGTGGGGCTTGTAATTATCCAGATCCTCGCAGGAATCAGCTGGGGAGATGTCCCTCTGACAAAAACCACATTTCTGTCTTTAACGAGCAGGACTGGTTGCCTGCGCATTAGTTCATATTTATAGTGAATTGTTTCTGCTTAATCTGCTGCTTCACATATGTAGCTGTCAGATGTGATTATCGGATTATGAGGCGACGCGCCACACGGAGCTCTGTTCCCCTGTCCGGTCACATGACTGGCAGAAATCACAGAGCCCACGCTGATGGCCGTGGGGAAGTACGAAGCACGCTCTGACCCCTGTGCTCCTTCAGCTCCTTCAGCCTGGTGCTCTCGCTTCGGAGAAGGTAGAGGAATGCATCTGCGCCAAATGAGCGGTGATCTGTAACGCCTTCGCTATTCTGTCTCCCTGTGTCTCTCTCGGCTTCTTCACCTGGATAGCTGCTGGAGAAAGACATGGATGGGAATTCAGATTGGCTCTTGTCCCGATCTCTTGCCAGCAGCAGTGATGAACTTTGCAGAAACGTTTGCTTCCATTTGTTGGGTGAGACATGACTGCAGGCTATACGGATCCTTGTGTAGAAATCCTGGTTCCCAGGATTAAGTGTTGGAGTTAGAACTGATGTATGTCAGTTTCAGAGTTCTGTGCAAATCTCTTCAAGAGTATACTGCAGTATTTATTTAATATGTCTCCTTGTCAGTAGTTGTACATGTGTGCATGTATAGTGTGTTATTTGCAATTTAACCTACCTTTACTGACATTGTAGTTGTGTTTAACACAGAACACAGTTGAGCACGGTTAGCGGTCAGATGCGACACTGTCTTCTTATAGATGTGTTGCACACTGCCTTGAGCAGGTAGCACTCAGAGCTTTAATGGGTTTATCTCACACTATTAAAGGCTTCTCTCTGTGTTCCCGCATGACCCCTCTTACATGCACAAGGCCTCTCCTTTGTAAGTTTTAGGATCAGTATTCAGTTATTTGCATTGCCTTAGAATATTTTATTTCATTCTGGCTCTGTCTTGTTGAATCTTCTCTTGTGTTTGAATCATGAATCTGTGATTAGGTTAGGTAAATTTATCTACGGATATCACATTTTGACTTTGCAGTTTGAGTATTTATTGGATTTCAAACATGAGTATTTTTTGATGCAGTACTTAAAAACACATGGCCAGCCCTGACTGAATGGAAGTCCCTGATGAGCTGATTTGAATCTTGGTGGATACATGGGCAACACCTGTTTGTATTCTGCGTATTCCTCCTGTAGTTTTTTTTTTTGTTTTGAGAGGAATCTTTTAGGTGCATCTTATTTTCTTTATTTTCTAAAGAAATAGAATCACTGGTTGTTCCTTGTTTATAGGGGTTTTTGTTCATGGCCAGTGTGGCTCACTGCTCCAGCACAGGAGGTGCAAAAGGAAACTGAGAATGAGGGGAATCAGGAGACATTTACAGTAGACACGCAAAGTGCTGACTGTTGAAGCAGATTCCCTGGTAAGTTTAGATCCTTGTTTCAATAAACTGCTGGGAACAAAGTGGGGCAGATGCACTAAAAAGCTTCATCTCATTGGTAGCCTTTATGCTCTTAAGTGTTACCATCCCTCCCACGCTAAGCTGCCCTGTGAAGTTGGCCTTATCGCAAACACAGGGTGACAAGACTGGGTCAGGCCTGGCTGGAAGAGACTAGGCCCCTGTTATTAACCATTTCTCTGGGTGAGAGGTGTGTGCCTGAACACTACTGAGGATGAGGCTGTCTGGAGGGTACACACGCCAGATCCCTTGTGTTTACATACCTGTAGACAGACCTTTGGTTCAAAGAGTAGCAAATCTTTACAAAACACTTGAAAAGTGGGCAGGAGCTTTTGAGTCCTTGTTAAGACTTTCTAACAGTTCTGCAGAAGCGCAGGACACTGGGCTGTGACAAACCCTCAACAACTGGGGCGACTTGCTGGAGAGCAGATCACCTGGAGTAAGACTGGACTGAGCTGACTCAAGAGCTGTAGAGAGCCACCTACTGTAGATGAATTTATACAGTATATTTGCAAAGCACAGCCTTCCAAACGAACATGTTCAAGCTTGCCAGTTTTGTCTGCAGAAGCAGAGTGTGAAGTGGGATAAAGATAAGACCTGATCAGATCCGAAAAAATAAAATGGAAAGCGCGGATGACAATCTGCCTGTTGCTGAAGAGATTTTGTTTTTTACTTGTGAGTAAAGATTTTTAGCCAGGGCAATTCTGACCAAGATCTGCCTGAGGTTGACCCTCAGAAATTAGCCTCTCTCTCTTCCCTTGGTTTTAGTAAGTGATTGTGAAGCCATTCACCAGTTTAAACACTTCAAATCTAATGCTGTTACATTGTTATGGCATTATCCTGTTTAATTTAAGTGTTTTGGACTTTTACCAAAAGCTTTATGTAATAATCCACAGCTGTGCATGCGTCAAAAACATTTCTATTAACCTTAACTTTATTTGACCGGAGTGAATTCGCTTTTTTAGAAAACATTAGTATTACCGGAGCTTTAGTAATAGTTCCCTCCCATCTGTAGTCTTCTCATGCTGGGGTGTGAAAAGTCACTCGCAGGACAAGTTATAAGTATTTTTATTTCCTGCTGGGCTTCTTACCAATGTAGAGATCACATTCAAAATATGTTCTTTAGCAATCTGTTGTCAGGAATCTGTCTTGGTAAACTCCAATCCCCTCGTAATTCTCAGCCTTATCTCTTGCATGACCGATATTCACTCCTGCTGCTGGAGGGCTGCCTTGTCTTCTAGTTTTCGTTCTCCCTGGACTCTCATTCCTTAATGACTTCACTGTAATCATTTACCCATCTGATTGGTTGCTTTTCCACTGTGACCAGTCTTTTCTCATTGAGGACTAAAAGTTACCTGTAAATCCTACAGGCTGTATTCAATTTCCAGCTTCTTAAGAACAAGGAAAGGCTTCAGTTCCTCCAATTAAGCAATTAATTATTTCAATTGGGTAATTAGAACTAGGAACATTCTGGCCCTCCTGGATTAAGCTGTGCCTGCTAGTGTAGAAGCTTGAATTGGTCACGGCATTGTTCCTGCAGGTCTTGAAATTTACAAAAACTGCTATATAAATAAAGTTTATTATTTTTAGTCCTGCCTGGGGACAGAAATAAGCACCAATGAAAAGAACTGGCAGCCACACACAATGACCCTGAGGGGAAAAGGGGAACCTTTTGTAACTGAAGTTGTGCAGTAGTGTTTCATTTGTTTTGAGAAAAGGGGGCTTGTGGAACAGGTGAGCTTTGTCCATACGTGAGAACAGGTGGACTGGTAGATCAGATTGTAATTTCATGAACCTGCCCCTGGTCATTGAATAGATCTTATTTGTGATTTCCTTATGTTTGGGGATCGCGCTGTGTTATCAGTAACCTCTTTTCAAGGCAACAAGTGTTGAGACAGGAGAGTAGCCCTGGGAAAGCCCGATTGCCAAACTGCTGGGCTCAGGATGATTTGCTGAGCTGCGTCTGACAAGAGGTATTTGACTTGAGGCGGAGGCCCTTTGTGTTTGAGCTGTCTGCACAGCAGGACTGCTGAGCTGACCGTTTTGAGCAGAAACGTCTATGAATGCAGCCTGTGTTTGCGCCAGAGTTGAGCCTGATGGAGCATGGCTTTCAGCTGAGCCCATCAAAGAAGCAAACCCCTGTCTGGTTCCACAGAAACTCAGGCCAGCCTCCAATAAATGCAAATCAAGAGCTTTCATTTTTTTTTAAATTAAAGTTAAAATTCAACTAGTGCAGGTGGGGCCTCTGTTTCATATGTTGTCAGTTTGCACCCTCACCGTTGGATCTTATTGTTCTTTCTAGCAGCTCAGTCCAGAAGATTCAGAAGCCACAAACACCTCTCTAGATCCATTGTTGAGTGTAAATGAAGCTGAGAAAGTCAATTCTCTGGAAACCTTCAAGTGTATTTTCTCATACTGAAACTTCTAAATGTTCTTCTTCCTTAAGAAACAGCAGTGCAGTTGTTTCTGAAACGCACTGTTGTGTAGACAGTCCTGAATTGCAGCAGGTGCTGTGTTCGTTATCCAGCCCTAGTTTCTTGCAATTAGAATACTAATGTGTTGAAATCTCTTACACAATTAATTACTAGTAGTTTCATTTCACCACTTCAGTGATCAGCAGCTCACACAGCTATTATGGGAGCATGTGTTGCCTGCAAACATGTTAATTGCGTATCTTGGGCAAGTAAAGGATTTGCACTGCCCATACAGTGTATTTCATTGATTGTCGATAACAAGCCTCACCACTGCTCCTTCATTGCTCTAACCTTTGGATGCCACTCAGAAGAGAACAGAGCAGCAGCAGAGCAGCTTAAACAACACAACAAATTAGGAAATATTAATTAAAATTGTTTAATTAATTAATTAAAATGTTGACCTATTTTTTAGATGTTTCTAGCTAGGGCTGTGGAGTGATATCTGGTTATTTGTGTACTGAAATACTCTAGAAAAAGAGTTTTTTGTATTTGTGCAGAGATGCATCATCACTTGGTTAGTTCTGTACTGGGCTGAAAGACCTCTGAAGGAATCGGGTTGCTGCTGCAAGTGGTGTTGCTGAACCAGTAGGTGGCACTGTGCCATACATACCAGAATTTCCAAGCCAGTCCACAGGATGGTGACAGGAGACCCTGCTGCAGGAGGTGCTGTTCTTCAGATGAGACATTAGAATGAGGTCTTACCTACTTGGGCATCGTTGTTAATCACAGTATCCTGACTATGTTCCACTTGCTTGTTCGAGCTGACCTCCCAAAATTTCCCATTCGACACCATTAGAGGAGGCATTTCTCTCTTCACCTCCTGGACTCCTCTGCAGCAGGGCTCCTGTCTCTCCCCTGTGTGGCAGCTCTGCGGCTGAAAATCATGCCGGTCTCCTCTCCTGCCCGAAACTGGGCCAAGCATGCTGTCTCAATTACCGAGCTCACGAGTTTATACGGGTATGAAAGAGAGATCCTGCAGTGTCCTCTGGAGTAAGTGAGCAATGTGGCTGTTGGTGGTCCTGGGTTACAGTCCAGTTCAGGTCACAAGTTAACCTTTGATTTAGGTTTCAGGTTTCAGAGCAGAGACTGCCAAATGTCACCCGTCCTATAGCTGATGTTACATATTGTGGGATTAAACTCACCAAGGCCTCCAGTAGCTGCCTGGTAATGGCTTGACAAAGAAGAAGAAAGAAGCAACACCCTAGATGTGAACAGAAAAAGTAGAAGCTTGTTTATGAAATTTCACTTTGGATGCCTGTGTTTTATGAGGGAATATTGGGTGTTGATTTAAATGTCAGGGTGTTATGGTGGCTTTCACTTGAGCAGAAATTCAAGGCCCTTCTGGCACTTTAAATTTAATCTCCTCTGCAGCTAAAAAAATCAACTTTAAAATCAAGAATCAATACTGCATCTGAAACTGTTTAATTACTGTCTTTATGTATGAAGATCATGGTAAAATCATGGTAAAACTGTCATAATGCAATGCAAAGAGTTACTGCAGTCCTTATCTGCTTGATCACTTCATGTCCATATTTGAGAGATTAGCAGGTGTTGGTACCTACAGTAGTGTGCGTGGGTACCAACTGTAGACAGAAAACCAAGATGCTACATATTCAGCATGTGATTGCGATTTGGTAATATCCAAATTTTCTTGAGATATGACTCATGTCTGCGATCTGTGTTTTTTCATGTGTTAGGAAGGAGCCGATTGAGAAATGAGGTGGTCTTTTAAAATGGCTTAGGTTCAGTTGGCATGGTAATCCTTTTTATAGACATAAATCTCTCTTAGAGACTTCTGCATCTGACCCATATTGCCCAAGAGTAGCCCGTGTTTGTGTGCTTGGTCTTGTCGAAGTTGTTTCCCTTGTTTAAGCGCCGCAGTGCTACATTCCTGCTTGTGTCATTTTGCTGATGTTGTAGGTTTTGTGTTGAGTGGATCTAGGTGAATACACTCGCAGATTTCCATCAGTGTTTAGCGCACAGGACTTGTCATATATTTTGGAAAGAAAAATCTGTAGCTCATTTGTGTCTCAGCAGGTGGTAGCGTGAGCCAGATGTGGTATCCGCTGCCTCTAAGCCCAATTATAGTCGTTCTCGAAGGCTTCAGGGTTTCTCGTAATGAGGGATTGAGAGAGCAGGGACTGAACAGATATCACCTGGGGGCTGAAACACTGCATGTGTCGGGGGGAGGGATGGATGTAAAGACCAGGGAGGGAGTCGGAGCAGGATGAAGTGACCTAGTGGTACTAACGCCAGCTAATCAGATTCTTCTCTGCTGCACAGATGAAAGAGACGTGTTTCTCCCCGGGTTTGTAGTGGAAGAGCAGAGACGCAAACACATCAAACACACGGCCAAAAGTGAACACAGGAACCTGACCCACCCTGAGGACACGGAGCGCACTTTGTGGTGTCCGTGAAACCCACTGGGAAGTGTGAAATCCCACATAGTCAGAAAAGTTCTGCAAATACATGAGAAGATCAAATGATCATCAGGGTATTTAGACAAATCCTATCTATCCATCTGTTCTCTAATTGCTTCTTCCAGCTCAGGATCGTGAGGATGCCTCTGTACCCTCAGCCAGTCGGGCATCAGTGATGTGACCGTGGCTCGAACCCGTGATCAGAGTTCAACCTGCATAAAGGCAGGCGCCTTTACCTATTGAGCTGCTCAGGAGTCCTTTCTTTTTTCATCATACTGGGTCTTTTAGGTTACAGTACGAGGTTTACAGTAATCAAAGTGTTTTAGTGTCATCATTTTCCGTGCTCAACACCCACGACACCTACCTTTTGAAACACCTATGTACTGATTTCACAGAATATCCTGTATTTGATGTAACAGGTACATTGGAGATGTCTTTCCACATTGGGAAAGGGGGGTTAGAATAACATCATGCCCTTTACATCAACCTGAGCTTGGGCCCACTGCGGCTTCTCTCTTGCTCTGACTACACTGAAGATCTCCCGAATTCCAGGGTGAACATTAGCTCACTTTACCTTCGTTAAATCCTCATAAGATACTCTGCACTGGACTCGTTCAGAATGTTCCTTGAGGAAAACCAATTTGTTCAATGCTTTAACCACGTTTTTTTTTTAAATGGCTTGAATCATTTTCTGAATTATTCTGCTCTTGCTTGTCTTGAGCCGGTCTGTCTGGAGATTAAGTGCACAAACCTTTTTTGCTCGTTTCAGCACAGGGAGAAGATAAATGGAATGACCTGCCCCTCGAAGGGAGAGAGAGTAGGGTCTGGCAACGCCTGGAGCAAGAGAAACTGAAGACTCTTCCACGGTCTGGTCTCTTGTGTTTTGAAACATCTGCAAAACGTTTTAGTCTCTTCAATGCGATTCTGCTGGCGCTCCTGTGAGCACCGCTAGAGCCACTCGGGAATGATGGAGCCACTGGAGTCGAAATCCGAGCGCATCGCCAAGTACAAGGCCGAGAGACGCAGAGAGCTGGCTCAGAAGTACGGCACCGCGGAGGAGGTGCCTTCCAAATGCATCAGGAGGGACCGAGAGATCTGCCAGGGAGAATCCGCAGACTCCGGCCAGAGAGCCAGGGAAGCAGCCGGAGATCTGCAGGACAGAGATGTGCCGAAGCAGGACTCCGCGGAGCCCGGAGGCAGTCCTCACCGAGGAGAGCAGCCCCTCGCCAGCGACGCCAACGGGGCCGCGGGCGCTCAGGAGGGCGCGGCTGGTGTTAGACGCGGCCGGGGTGAAGGGCGCGCGGCTCTCACCAGCTCGAGCCGGGAGACACCGGCCCCAGGGCAGGAACGCACCGCACTGACCGTAGCGAATGGCACCTGCGTGGGCGCTGGCGGCGAGTCGTCCCGGAGCAGGTGAGGGCGTCTCCGTCTCGTCACGGTGCTGACAGCGGTGCATCGCAGCAGGAATAGACCGGCAGGCAGTGGGATTTGTGTGGGATTATTAAGAGCACGGGGCTCAGTGGTCAGCGTTGCTGCCTCGTGGCACCGGGGTCCTGGGCTGGATTCCAGACCTGGGGTGCTGTCTGGGTGGAGTCTGCATGTTCTCCCCATGTTCATGAGGGTGCCCTGTTTTCTCCCACATTTCAAAATCATGCTGGTAGATGAATTAGCTTCTGGGAAGACTGGCCCTGGAGTGAGTGTGTGAGTGTTTGTGTCTGCCTGTGCCCTGCGCTGGACTGGCGTCCTGTATCCTGCTGAAGTGGAGTGGCTGGATATTAAGAGCAAGCAGGAAGCTCCCGGTCACTTATCCTGAGAAGGTGCATTGTGGTGTGTAAATCAATCCACATTCTGTGAAAAGAGCTTTGTTACCCGTCACTGCTTGTAGTGTCATGGATAACAGAATGAAGAAACACTTAATTTAGCTGTACTACACTGATGGATGACACTTTGTGCCTGGAAAAATACAATTAGATAGTTTTTGCTTTAATAGAAAAAAAACAACCAATTATGACATTGATTAAATTCAGTTTGGAAGACATGATTGCAGTGCTTCTATCCAATTTCACAGCTTTAGGTCCTGGGATCCTAAAAGACCACAAACTCTTTCATGTTTGTAGGAGATGAAAACTATTAAAAAGTTCGGGCTAATGAAGATTATAATTAAGAAAGCAATGAATTAACTGTGAGCTCAGCTACAGCGAAGACCTGAAGGGACCAGGGTCTCAAAGATCCAACCCCTGACGAGCCTTGATCTAGCTTCATCCATGAAGATGCCAAGGTCATCGTTCTTCTGATTTCGAAACATTTGTAATTACATTAGCAGTTGGCTAGCATAGTCTGTTTGCGACAGCACACTGACCAGTGGCCCCTGACCGTGCCCTTGAGCTCACAGTCCGTCACTCAACACAGGGAGTGGCAGTGTGGGCCGTGTGGGCGGTGTGGGCATGCCAGGAGAATGCATGTGCAGGGCGTCCTTCCCCTTACGCTGTCTCAGAGGTGGTAGCAGTGAGAGGAGTTGATTAAGCATTTAGGATACCAGATTATAAAACAGAAATATCTCTAAGCTTTGGACTTTTCTAATTTTGATAAAGAAACCTAAAGAGCAATACATATTTACAGCATAGCAACACTCCATTTACGGATCCTGAAATTTCCTGCTCCTAAATCTAATCTTTTAGGAAATTAGCCCGTTCATGTTCAGCAGGACTGAGCAGAAATGCACAAAGCCTGTAACGTCTTGTTCGATCTCCCTCAAGGAACTAAAAAAGTCTGCTTCTGGATTAGGTTCCAAGGCAGCAGGATTGCAAAGGATTTGATTGCACAAACGGTTGCTTACACACGCTTAATTCCTGTCGTACTGTGGCCTCTGTCTATTTACTGTGCTGTACTCCTCAGTCAACATGGTGAAACACAAACCCGGAACAAGAGCATCTGGGCACTTTTTGATTTGATCTAAACCATTTATTTATTTATAATCATTTATGCCCCACTCTTCTGTAACTGGCAGTTGCTTGTCAGCCGTTTGTTTATTTGGGGGATTTCTTGTGGGCCGATTTCTTACATTTTATCTCCACATTGATAGGAAGCTCTTGCGAGGAGCTCATTCACACACACAAGGAGTCTTAATGCATTATTGACGGCTGGGATATCAGAGTTTCTCTCCTCATCTTCTAAACGTAATTTCTCGGGTCCACCGGTACATATCTAAGGGGAATTGTGTCCCTGAAACAAAGAAGAGCTCCCGGTGCTTCCTTTATTTCTGGGACACAGAAGAGTTAAGAGACCCTGTGGCTGCTCTGGGCCTGAGAGAAGGTATGTCTCTCGAGCCTGTCAGTCCCTTGGTCTGCCCAGGCTGTGGGCCGGCCCTCAGTGCAGAGACGGGGTGGAGCCCCAGGTAGGAAGCATGCCTTGAATGAGCTCATACGGAAGGTGGGGTCTTCTGTGGAGAGTCCCTGAGCGCTTGCCTGTGTGGTTTGGTAGGAAGGTGAAGGGAAACAGAGGGAGTGTCTGTCTTAAACAGCCTTTCTTGCACTGCAGGTTTTCCACAATACAAATGGCTGCATATTGTTTTGGGAAAAACAATTCCTTCTAGTTATGAATGCTGCTTTTGAGTGCCCACCGGGGTATGTATGTACTTCATGCGTTATTTTCCACTTTTAACTCTGTAGTTTCAGCAGCGTCGGACAGAACAGTTGTCTGTATGGATTTGTTTTAATTGCAAAAGTAGGCAACATGTGAATCTAATCAGTCATTGTCAAGTGTTTTTTTAACTTTAATTTGTGGTTGGGTTTTAGGACTTTACTTGTTTAAGTTACATGAAACCTCTAGAGGCAATAAACGTTTAAATAATGCTTAATGCAACAGAATCACCTGTAATTATACCCAACATATAAAAACAGTTATTAAAAATTCTGCCCTTAGTACAGAAGGAAAATAATCACTGTACATCACCACTATTAGAAAAAAACCAGAAGAAACGGAAGAATATTTGCTATAATATGCTGTATAACTTTTATACAAACAGACTTTTTTTAAGACTAGAAGATCTCAGAGCACAGTGGACAAATAATGCTCACAATAATATATGCACAAAAACAGAAAAGATGTTTTAGAATAGATTGATATTTCTTTGTCTAATATTCCAATGCAGTGTGCTCACTGTGTGCCATAAATCACTAGTCCATCCTCGGTGTTACCTTGTGAGATATGTGACCAAAGTTTAAGAAGATGTGAGAAATGGGAATAGCAGCCAACAAAGTGTTTTATTCATTTGTTTTCGGGAGCCGACCTAAACGTTGACACAATACTCAGTGCTCCCTTTACTGTTGTGTGGTAGTTATTGTCGGGAGTGGAACAGCCACCTCTTTCACTTCTTGGTTTTGGTCAGACAGCACTTGTTGACTTGGTCTAGCCTGGCACAGACACAGCAAGGACAGCAGAAAACTAAAGGTTGTGGGTCTCAAAGGAATGAGCTACACTTACAGGTTAAAGGAACTGAACCATTTCAATTGTGAACACAAAGGAAATGCGAGGGAACACAGTATAAGTATTCAGATTCCTGAAAGACTCTGACCTAGTCAGCTGAGTGAATTTCTGCAAATCACCAGTGAATCGCAGGCTGGAGGACACCAGTAGAAACAACACAGACGTAAAACTGAGAACAGGAAGCACTTACTTATTCAAAGGGTTGTTGGAGTGAAGAGCTCTGCTAGCTGACTCTGAGAAATGGAGAGTAATGCCCTCATCCTTAATGAGAAGAAGCAAGCCACAGTAGACTGAGTGACCTCTTCCCATTCGTTAATTTCCATCCGATGAATAGAGTCTGCCAGCGTTGTTCTCTGTGTTGAACCAAAGCATTTGCTGTAATCAAGCTGCTCTGATCTTTTTCTCGTTGATTAACCTTCCTATTCTTCATAACCGAAACAAACCAGCCATGTTCTTTGGTGCTTACACCTGTAATACAAGACAGGGAGAACCATTTGAATCACAGCAAGCTGTGTGGTCTTCTGATTCTTTACATACAGGCATTTGTGTATTTTGGAACAAACAGCATGTTGTGAGAGTGTAACACCTGTGTTCCCTGCTCTTCATGGCTGTGTCTGGGTGGTAACCGTCCTGGTTGTTTTCTGATGCCAGGGCGACAGATCTGGGGCCCACCAGGCCCTGGTCCGGGGGCTCTGCAGGGCTCTGCAGCCAAGGTGGCAGTCCGTGGGGGCCGCAGGGGCCTCAGGGGCCGGACTCGGCCCACATCCACACCCGCGTGTCGGTGGGCCAGCTGAGGAAGACCTTGCTGCAGACTGCCAACGGGAAGCCAGAGGAGAGGCCGTAGGTCCTGCCGTGGTTTGCTCAGTGTTGCTCAGCTCTGCCTCATGCTGTTTACTAACTGCATGTCCCAGGTCTGCACCTCCCCTGGGCTCCAGCAACCCCCTGGAGAGCCGCTCCTTTAGCAGGATGAAGTGAGACTTTTGTTCTAAGCTGTAAAAGTGCCACTGAAAGCATGACGATCTTGGTAACCTGGGGGCTCAGGAGGAATTTTAAAAGAGAAGATCAGTTCCCCTGCTCTAGATCACTGTGATCGTTTCTCTGTTCTAGATCACTAAGATCATCTCTCCCTTTCTAGATCACAGTCTTATAGTCCCTGTTATTTTGACCTTGATAACAGCCTGAATTCATGTCTATTTCCAGTTTCCCAAAATAATGTGTTGTTGTAAACAGTTTGCTACAGAACATGGTTGTTAGAGAAAACATTCCAACAGTTTTAAATGACTGAAATTCTTTTGGGGTACAAAATTTGGAATGTTATTTTTCTTATTACTGAAATTGATACAGCATTATTTTCTATATTTTTTTATTTTTCTATTTGTGATCAGAAATAATCACCAAGAAATTGGTAGCATTTGCCTTTCTACTATATTTTTTCTTTTCTTTAAATGACTAACAGTTGAAAGCTTTTATTTCCTCTTCTATAAACCTCTAAGCATGTTAAACAAACCTTAATAAGCTGCAGTTTTTTACAGAGCTGTGATATATACTGATTCTCTGTGCTGCTCTGTGTTTTGACCTGTGAAGACTGACTGTGTGGTTTCTGTAGAGTTTAATCACACCCTATCAGGCTGTTTCCTCTTGCATCTGTGTGTATCTCACATCTGTATTACTGGTGTGCTGCACAAGATGCACCAAGAAAAAAGACATACTGCACAACACAGAATTGTAACTGGTAATGTTCTTCATTCCTCTTGATTTGCTACCAAAGTTTTTCAACCTCTTATTTTAAGTCATATGATTCACAAAGCAGCGCAAAAAAATGTGCACCCGATGTCATCCCGAATGACCTTTGCCTGTGAGCAGCTGTCCTCTGATTAGAAATCCATGCCACAGTTGGAACAGTACCTGTATTCAGAATACCTGAGGTGAATTTTGGAAGGTGCCACCTGTACTGATAAGTCAGCCCCTGGTGCCTCCTACTGTGTAACACTTGTACCTGTATGTAAGTTTATTCAAATCTGTCTAATTTAGTTTTGAATAGGAAACAGATATGTTTTGAATGTCATAATGGAAAAATACTAGAACTCTGAACGTATTTGAGTAGTAAAGCAACCTGTAACTTTATCATCTAATAACCAAGTAGCTTCAATGAATGATTTCCTGATTTCCTTTTTTCAGAGGGCTAAACCCAAAGCTCAAGTGCCTTTCTTCTAGACCTGCAGAACAGAGTTTGCAGGTTAATGTCCTAATTCACACCCTGTCACTAACTAGTCTGAACCCCAGCTGTTGGGTTGGTGGCCCGACAGTGTCTTCACCACAAGCCACAGTGGGGTTCTCGTGATCAGATTGGGTAGATGCAGCCCCAGATTTCAGATGGTGTGCGCTGTCGACCTGATTCTGGGCCCTAATGTCTTACTAATTTAAGCACATTGCTGCCAGCAGGTTTCCCCTCGTCAGCCCAGTTTGAGTGAGAGAGGAGCTTGTTCTCATTATTCAGCTCGTGCTGTCTGGGTTTTAGACATCAGACCTGAAAAGCATGCGTTTTAACGTCTTCTAATTTCCTCATTCGTCATGTTCATTTGTGTTTTGCATGAGCGTTTTGTTGTTTTTTTTTTGCTTGTCGTTATTTGCCTAGCAAACAAGCTCCTCTCTCACATGCTGCTCCTGTGGAGCTATCCCATCAGCAGATTAGATCCTCTGATCAATTAGCTACTAACTACAAAGTGGACTAGACAGACTGCATGATCCCCTCTCATTTGTAACCTTTCTTATGTTTTATGTTAAATAGACATGATAGAATCCAATGTCTAATTCTACACACAATTTTTATGCATAATGTGTATATGTGATATCATATACATAATTTCTATAGCAGAAGTATATCTGTACTATAGCCTGCCACTTTTCTACAGGACATTTGTTTCAGATCAAGATACTCCATGTTCTGCACTCTATCAGGGTTGTTGGTCTGTTACGCCTGTTGGTGTTTGAAATACAGCTTTGAACAGTCAGACCTCTGGAAATGTTTAAACTCCAGTCAGTGCCTCAAAACGTTTGCAGTTGTTTGCAGAAAGGGCAAGGAAAAAAGGTTGCGAGAATCCCCCTGGAAATATTTAACAACTGTCCTGGCGCTTTTTTGAGCGCGGTCGGAGGGCCATGGGAAATCGGAGGCGATTGCCACGTTTTCATTTTAGCTAGAAGGACATTTCAAGAATTTCTGTAAATCGAGATGTGCTGCCTTGTCTTCAATTGGAATGAGGTCATTTACCTGTCCTCTGAATTCTATGGTAACGGGCATAAAAATATTCCTAAGCACTTCAGTTCTGAAACCTCTGCTGTAAAGGTAATTGAGCGAGCTGGGGATTGTGTATAGGGCAGCACGGTGGTGCAGCAGTCAGCGTTGCTGCCTCACAGCACTGGGGCCCTGGGTTCAGTTCCTGGGTTGCTGTCTGCATGGAGTTTGCATGTTAAGCCCATGTTCACATGGGTTTCCTCTGGGTGCTCCAGTTCCCTTTCACAGTAGGCTGATTGGCTTCTGGAAAAGGCTGTATCCCGCCTTGTTCCTATTGCTTTACAGGATAGACTCCAGCACCCCTGCACCCTTGAAGTGGATGAAGCCAAATTCATCTTCGTTCATTTTCAGAAAATGGATGGATGGATAGGTTTATAGAGTCAGCTTTGATTTTTTTTTTACACTAATGGTTTTGGGATCTTGGAAACTTTTGATTCTAAGGAATGCGTAACTCCATGTAATGAGAAATAAAAGCGGATCTGACTTTTCCATGTAATTAAGGGCTACAACGTGGAAGCCGAGACGTGATGAATCTGGCGCTGCCGTGGCACCAGTGCTGGCAGGCTGTGGGGACACATGTCATAAAAAGGGCTTTGAAAATTTCTGTGACAGAGGAAATAATGAAGCACAGTTCCTACTGTTCATTACTGCAGTTTCATAAGTGCATAAACTTCTGAAAGGGGTCAGCCTGCACAGTCATTGAAAACCAGGAGACCCAGGACAAAGAGGAGCAGACACAAACTCATCCTACCTGACAGCTTCGCTTTCTGCTCCAGGCAGAATTGATGCTGATGCACATGCAGGAGGCTGGTCCTTATTAAGCACATGTGAGAGTACGATGGGACATTGCACTGGTCCTGGGGGGGCAGCTGCAGGAACACTACAATCTGCAAATGGCTGAGAAATGGCCTGTGAATCTCCCTGCTAACTTTCTCAAATGCAAGGGGTGTTTCTTAGGCCTTTCCAAGCTGCCACAGACTGCCTCCTCTCTTGTCTGCTCTGCTCGTCTCTCCATCTCTCTCTCTTCTCCCCTGCTTCAAGACCTGTGGCTGCAGGCCCCGTGAGCTCGTCCCTGGACTTGGCGGTGGCCGGCCCGCGCGGGCCCCGGCGCTCTGTGGCCGCCGGCACGAGCAGGAGAGCCAGCGAGCGCTTCAGGACGCAGCCCGTCACGGCCGCCGAGGTGCTGGAGAGCGGCCGGCCGGCCCCGCGTGCGGCCGCGCGCTGGTGAGAGCCTGGCCTGTGCTCTGCTGGACGGCCTTGCAGTGCAGTACTGGACGGCTGAAACTAAAACTTTCTCTTGCATGGCTCGGCCAGCTTGAGTGCTGCCTCTCACTTCTATTGCAAACCCTCTGGCTAAACTTTCAGTGTTTTCAGCCCTATGGTCAGAGACGGAGTCGTGGATCAGTAGAACACCTCAGGCCCAGCTGGAAACCCTGAGTGGAATGAAACAGTGGTTCAGTGTGCTCGTGAGGCATACCAGAAGTTCTCAGAACAAGGGGACTGATGTCCTCTGTGTCTGGCAGCTTCTTTCACCTGAAGTAAATCAAACCGCTCTGTAGCGCAAGCCTGATTGGTTGTCCCTGGTACAGTATGAACTTAATCATACAGAGGCATTCCCTTGGGTGCACTCTGTGTCCAGGAATGGGCTGGATAGAGCACTGTTTTATTCTTTCTGCCCACATGTCTGCGTTACCATGCATCCCAAGTCTGGACTGCAGAGGCCCAGTATGACTAATGGGTATGTGCAAACCGAGCTAGTATACACATCTGGAAGCTATTATCCCTATTCCTATCTGTTCGTGTTCCAAGATCCTGATAGATGCTGTACAGTATGTGCCCTGAGTTCACTGGAGCCACAGCACAGTGACAGCGCAAACAACAAGAGCCCCAGTAATAAGGGCACCTTGATCTGTTTCAGGGTTCACCAGCTGCAGGCTCGTGTCCATAGATGGGATTTAATTAAATCTATGAGCTTGGGAAAATTTTATTTATTTTGCTTCACTGCCCTTGTGTGAGTGTGGCTCAGCTTTACCTTATTTATGGCCGTCTGTGAGGAATTTTTGACAGGTTTTGTACTGTGCACTCGTGGAGCATGGTGTGTGAGCTGCACAATCCTGCTGTCTAGCGTAGGAATTGTTTTCTGAAATGGTTTAGAACACCTTTAGAACACCAGGGATAGTCGCTCCAGGCACTTTTGGACCATTGTAGGTCTTCCTGGGTTAATTAAGCAATTAGTGATCAATTGAGTATTTTATACTGTAGGAACACTCTAGTGCTATAATGCCATGGAACATGGTCATCTATCTCTGGGCTGGAATTGTCCTGATTGTGAGGATGAACTAAAAAACTGAAGAACAGCCCCAAGAATGTGAATTAACTTATCGGCAACCCCTGGAAATAAAGGAGGGCTGGTTCACCAGCCAATGTAAGAAAAAGAATAATTGAATGAATGAATTACAGAGGCTGCAGGTGTAAACTACCTGGAAGTGTATTTAAGACTTTTTAAGAGACTATTTAAGAGGAACTTCCTTACAAAGGGTTGTGGGAGTATGGGACAAGGTGTTCAGCCATGAGGTTGGTTTCTTTTCAAAATGACTGGGTGAGATTCTCAGATCAGGTACATAAGGTTACAGTTACAGGCTAAATGGCCTCTCATTTATAACCTTTCTAATGTTTGTGTCATTACTTCGTTCCTCCCATCAAACCAGGACTGGGTAATTAAATAATTGTTTCCTGCTGTACTACAGCAGAGCCTGGTGATGCAAACTTTGATAGCACAGACAGAATCCCTAGGGAGGGAGAGTTAGAAACACCCATAGAGCTAAACGAACCCTGTAAAATTCTGTTTCAGAGAATAGTTTGTATATAGAACAGTATGTTGAAATACTGTGTGATGTTGAATCACCTCCGTGCTTAGATCAAATCAAACAAAGTTCTGATGCATTTCATAACAACATCTTTCAGGATGTTGATTACTTCTGATGAGACGTTTTTTGCATTGTCTATGTAATGTGTTGTTTTATTCTTTTCCAAAAATGAGCTGGTGGTAAGTCCAATGTGAAGAATGCTTTGAAAGGCCATCACTGTATCTGTCACTGTTCCAGGCTGAATACTGATATCACTTTTCCAGTAACTCTATTACAGTATATCATGCCTTCTGAAGCAGCACTGCTGTAGTGTCTGTGCTCATCTGCTAAATAGTTGACCCAAGTTAATATTCACTCGTGGTTTACCTGAAGTAAAAAAAACTGTAGGACAATTCTGAATTATAATGTCACATCCTGTTCTAAAGAGACAGTTCTGGACTATTGCCATTATCCAGGACTGTCTTAATTCACCACGTCTTCAGCTGGTGCGATGAGTCGATTTTTATGAACTGTTAAAATAGCTTTCAGTGCCAGAGAGACGGAGGATTGAACTTAGCAGAGATGATTGTTTATAAAGCTGCTTTTGAGCAGCTGTTTTTCTTCGACCTATATAAATGCGCTCCGAGTGCACCTTTAGGTTTTTGCCTTACTGGGTGATCAGTCGCTGCTGTTAATAATCAGTCAGCTAACAGGCGCTCTTATGCAGAATGGCATACAGGACGCTGAGGGTGCACATCAGCAGTTTCTACAGAATCGGGAGGGTCCGCTCCCTGCTCAGGGCGAAGTGTGGTGAGTCTGGGGGAGGGCCTGGGGTTCGGGTTCAATCTGGGCCCTTTCCGTTGCCACTAGATCCCCCAGCCTGCTGCACACAGTAAAGAAAGGCCAAGACATGGCTGCCTTCTTCGCGTGACTCATCTGCGCTTTGTTTTCTTGTAGCTCTGCAGAAGCCGAGGAAGAAGAAAAGACCAAAGGTGAGCTTATTCTCGAAGTGAAAGGGAACTGACTTGACTTCCTGGGCCTGAGTATCTATTCCTGAAAGACTAGCTGTGGCATTGTGGATGGCGGAAGAGGTGACCAGTTGCTGAAAGCAAGGCCTGTGTTTGATCTACAGCAGGATGTGAGAAGCTATGGAGACATTATATAGCAGGCCTTAAGGATCCTTTTCACAGTGTTCATTAGTAAGGCTAGATGTATGCAGTGTGAACAGGTGGTACGCAATGCAGGCGCCTCTAAATGTTTCCTAAGGATGTGGGTGCTGCTGGGACCCCTATATTCGGTATTCTGACGGCCTCCCTGGGGCCAGCCCTGTCTGAGGAGTGGGGTATGGCACAGCCTGTCTCGGGACTGGGGCCTCGCTCGAGCACCTGTCGCAGCGCAGAGCTGTTCACACGTGTGGAGAGAGAAGCCAGGCATTAGTCCAGCCGAGCAGGGCTCCTGCACCTGGTCAAACAGTGGCTTGTGTGTAGGGGATTCCTGCTCATGGGACAGATAAATGGACTGTACAGTAAATGTGCTGCTGCCCGGTTTGCAGCTCATGTTTAATTTGCAGAGCCAACTAATTAGAAGACTAATTAGAGACATTAATCTACTGAGTCGTTCCACCTGGCTTCAAGGAAAAGCAGCTTGTCTCTATGAGACACGAGGTGTTCTGGAAGGGGGTTAATATCGTCACGTTAATACTTATGAAGGTGCAGCACCTGAATTCCCCTAGTCTTGTCTCTTGCGACTGGCCTTTCTCAGAAATCAGGAAAGACCATAAAATTGTCAGATACTACACACCCCAGACCTTTGGTGTATTAAGAGTTACCCAGGAATAACAATATTAAAACAAATGTTTTGGTTCTCCTCTAATCTGTTACATTTCCACACAGTTCTTGAGTAAATATAGTTAGTCAAGACTTGTGTGGACCGTCTGGGGCGTGGAGCTTCACTGGTTATTTTCTCTGTAGCTCAGGCAGATGTGGTGGGGTGGGAGTCCCGGGTTCACCTTGGAACATTTATCACAACAGTTTCTTACCTATGCTGGGCTTTTGCAATTGCTTTATTGTGGGTTTACTCTTGCTTTGCTCCGGTCGCCCACGGTTTTAAAAAGCCCTCTGGTGAGCTTCACAGCACTGGACCACGGGAACACCCATGGTGTCCTGTGGTAGACATGCCTTAGAGCCCTCTTACCACAACACGCCAAGCAGATGAGGCCGGCCCGTCACGTGCTGCGGCTGCCGTGCAGCTCAGGGGAGAGGATGGCGGCCTTGCCCTGAGCAGCAGATGAGCTCTGCTCCTGTACACTGCAAGTACGCCTCTCCGACGCATTGCCCTTCTGGAGGTGAACCCGACCTCTCTTCGCAATTCCCGGGAAATCTGTCTGTACAGCACACTGACCCGGGAGGCGCCAGTCGCTCATCGTCATGTGCTGCGCTTCTCGTCTGGCTGGCATGGGGGGAGTCCTCATCAGCTAACAATATTAATAAAACATCTTTATTTCATTTATTGTTAAGAAAACAACAATAAAATAAAACAATACGTAAAATACACATAATACTTACAATATGTGGAATGAGAATGCAGAATGAGAGGAGACAGTAGATGGGAGTTCTGAATACATTAGGGGTAAAGAACAGAACCAGTTAAGTAAAGGCCCTGCTGAAGAAAAAGGTTTTGAGTCTAGAGGAAAGCAGCTTAGTGACGCTGAGATGGCAGAGAGTCCAAGTGTGAGACCCCGAGCCTTAGCAAGCCAAAGAGAGGCTTTATTTCTGGACATCTCTACCACGCTGAAATGAAAAAGACAATGTGTGACCTGCTGTCCTCAAGATTTAAGCACTTGATTTCTGGCGGCTTCATTTTGGTAAATGTCTTGGCTCTGCGCTCGGCGGTAATGAAGATAAACATCTTCAACAAGGCTGATTTTGAAGAGCTTTCTTTCTGAGCTTGTCACAACGATTAGCCACTTGAGTGCTCTGTGAGAGCTGGACACAGATTTACATCACGGCACCAAGCACAAAACGTGTGAAACTCAAACACTGCGGTTCCTGGTACAGTAACAAAGCCTTTTGTACTTGTGAAGAACGTTGATGTACACAGTGGGTACTTTTGCTTGCTTGTGGACTTGTAATAGGGTTCTTTAGGTAGGTGTTAAAACAGGGATACAAATGTTGTCATTATTGACTTTGAGGACTAGACATTTTTAATCTGTTTTAGCACTTTATTATTTCTAATTTCACAATGACCGGTTCCAGCTTGTTCACACCCAGGAAAGAAGATATAAGGGCTGGGACCTTCAAATCGTAGCATGAAATGAGTTGATAAGGGTGGGATTTAGTTGATTACAGCTGTCATCTTATATTATTGCACTTGTCAATTGTAGAATCTCTTTTCTTTCTGGAGAAAAATATTTTTAAAAACTTAAGCATAAGTCCCATAAGGATGACCAGGGTGTGTGAAAGTTTGGGAAAGAATATTGCTCAAGTTAACTCCACAAACATTAAAATGAACCTTTTATTGTATATCTGTCATGCTGGGACAAGTGTTGTCACTTAGCCTTGTGTTTTTTCTGTGTGTTTTTACAGTGGATGTGAAAACAGATGACAGAGCCAAGTTGAGTGTTGCAGCCAAGATGTCTCTGTTTAAAGTAAGTGCTCTGGCCTGGGCAGGAACCGAGCGCTGAGCTGAAGAGCTGCCAGGATATGGGAATGAAATGAGAGCCTTTGATCTTGGATCAGCCACAGAGCCACTCCAAGTTCCACTTTGTTTTTAGATATTCCCCTAAGAGCCTTTTCAAAGGTCATCGCTCTAGAAGCACAGAAATATGTCAATTTTTTTAGGGCTGCAGCTTTCTTTCTAATGTGATAAACTGTGCAAACCATGTTTCCAGATATCTTCTGCTTCGGCTCCTACCGGAATTGTAACTGTTCCCAGTCGCATGTCAACGCCTGCAGTGCTATTCATTGTGAGATGACATCACTCGTTTCAGAACTCGAAGCATGTGTTTTGAGTGCAGCGCATGATATTTTAATAGTGATTTAGAAGGCATGAGTGCCACAGGCCTCAGGACTGATGATTTCTTTTTCCCAGCCTCACACAGGTGTGTGTAAGACTGCTGCATCCTGTTAGCAGGCCTGCAGGGGGGCGTCAGTCTCATTTTTCACAATGTGATCTCTGCCCCCTCCTGCCATTGCTGTACTGTAGAGACCAGACAGAGCCTTTTTTGAGCTTTTTTTTTTACCAGATTCACCACTGCTGAGCCTCTGTCTGTTTATTGAGTGTCATTTCTTTATTGATCTGAGCTTTTGCACAAAACAGAAGATGGTAAAGTCCATAAGCGCCATCAGTTACTGGACGAAATCCCTGTCTTCTTGCACTGGAGTAAATGGTTGGCCTTGCCCTCCTCTTTCGCACACTGCTGTGGATCTCCTTCCAAAATCACAACACTGTGCCAGAGACACAGAGGCCTATCAGTGCAGACATGGCCACTTCTAAAGCTAATGGCCTTTTTCTGATTTAAGTTATGTAAGTGTAATTAGGCTGTGTGTTAATGGTCATAATCATGTTGAAAACCAAACACTTCACCCACACAAAGCCTTTCTGAAGTGCGGAATAGTTTCTTAACATGTATTGTCCATACTAGTAATCATGTATGATTGACCACACTGTTATTATACAGTATACTGTACATATGGGAGGCCAGCAGCAACTTTGAAAAAGCTACAGAGTCCAATGGCTGAGAGTGCTTGTATAGAACAGAAAAAAGCATCTCATATCCCTCAGTTTGCAAGAAAGCACCTAAATCATACTGCAGCTCTGTGGGAAATGTTTTCATGTCAGGCAAGATAAAACTGAAACTTTTTGGTTACAACTAAATGCAATGCATTACATCTGAAACAAAGCCAGCACAGAGCATCGTTCATTCAACATCACCCCTACTGTCAAGCCTGGAGGTGGCAGCATTTTGTCAGCTCAGCCTGCTTCTCGCCGACAGCGGCTGATAGGTATATTGATGAAGCAAAGGGCAAGTCTTGGAGGAAAACTGCTTCAGATGTAAAACTGGAACAAAAACTGGCAGGACAGAGGTCCAAAGTACAGGGTGAAAGCTGCACTGGAGTGGCTTAAGAATAAGAAGGTGAATGTCCTTGAGTGACCGAGTCAAACGTCCTGACTTGAATTCTGTTAAGAAACTGTGGAAAGACATTTAGACTACTGTCATAAGCAATCACCAAGCAAATGTGCATGCATTATCTTGTCATTTCACAAAATGAGAAAGGTCTGTTTACTTTTGCAAAGCCTTGTATATATAAGTAATCCAGTGGATGTGTGTAATTTTGATGGTGCACTTTAAGCCTAAGAACTAGCACTTCTGTGGAAATGGATCACAGCTGGGAAACAGTGAGGGCTTTATATGAAAAGGCTGAGGAAATGAGCTGGGCAGAGGCCAAACCCAAACACTGAGAGGTGATTAAGATGTCCATTTTTCATTTGCACATTAATCTCATATATATGTAGCACATATATCAGAGTGTGACACTTTCACCCCTGCAAGCCCAGAATTAATTAACCTAAACATCTAGACTAGCAGAGACATTGTCCTGCTCTCAGAAAGGTTATTTTTGTGGTTTCTCATGATAATGCTAATATTTAAGATTAGTTTAATAAATATTTAAACTTTAAGAAGAGGGTTCAAATGGATTCATCATTTCTCCCTTGGTGCAGTTTTGTTCAGTGAGTCACTTTGTGCTTGCATGTGGTATGGTATAGGTCTGGCACATAATCGGAGAAAGTGTTTCGGATTTCCCTTGGTCCTCATGTTAATGAAAGTCAGTTATCTAGCTGGGAGTCTTTTCCAGGGTATGGTTTGATCTCCGGAAAGGAGGACTTGATGTCTTTTTTGGACCTTTCAGTTTGTTGTTGCTATAGGTCTGTTAATTGCCTTGAGATTACTGCCCTTTATTTCCAGCCTTAGAAGGCAAATACATTTGGAGGGTTTAGTTATAGTAAAGGATCATTTTTGTTTCAGCTTCCTGCTATTTGATTGCATTTCCAGATCAGAGTACCTGGGAGCTGGGATTGCTGCTGCCCAGTTTTCTCAGGGCCCAACTAACATTTTCCCAGGCAGCTGCTTGCTTAATGTAGTTTGGCCACCCAGCTCACTGCATCAGACTCCCCCAGGTAAGATGGCAGTGAGCTGTTGAGAACTGCGGTCACGCTGAGCTGTTCCATCGTGGGAGGGGCTCGTTCGCGGGACGATCCTCCCGAAACAGGCTGTTAAAAGGGCTGTTTTATATAATAGACATTCAATAGATCATGCCCTCCATGCACAGCGTTTTAACTCTTTCTCTGCAATTGCCCTGCTCGTGCCTTCTCATGAATATCGCTTCAATACTGGCACTTCTGACAAACATCTACATGAGTCTTTACATACATTACTTTAAAAACGATCCTGCAGAATGATCAGTGCGATTGTTCTTTTCCTTAGGGCCCAGATGAGTGTTCTGACTCCTCCCAGCAACTTTGAGGTGGCAGTCTGAATGACCAAAACTGTTTGATCAGCCCGTGCTTAGCCCCTCCTCAGTGAGCGAATGGCACGGTTGCTGCCCTTAGTGTTAGGAGCCCCACACTGTTCCCCAGATCTCTGTCTTAGGACTGGTGCTGCTTAGTATGTATAGTGACAACTAGGTGAGCCCATGAGGAAGTACTAATGAGGTTTTCACTGCTGTGCTGATAACTCACAAATCTATTCATCATTTTCAGTTCAAACTAACATGGGAGTGCTTGTCTTTTCTGAGTGCGCCCCTGGCTTCTAATTGGTTGAAATTAATAGGTTGAAATCAGCACTATTAAATTCAAAAGTCTTTGTTGCACTGGCAATCTGCTGGCAACTTGTATCCCACAAAGGTTACCTCATGTAACACCCCTGGCTCCTGCTCTAGCAATGCGATCTGTCAACGGGAGCCTGCAATCCTTTCTCAAGCAGCAAGTACCAGCCCACTCCAGGCAGCTCACTGACATGCGTCACGCAACTCGTTCAGCCTGGTAAACAAACCACAGGCTGCTGGTAGCAGTATAGAGAAGTACTTTTTCTAGAGTTTTATGAAAGTATCCAAAGAGTCAGTTTAATGTTGTCAAATTTGGCATTGAATTTTAGAAGCGATATAATCAATAGGGGAATTCAAAAGTTACTTTGTATGTTTATTTGCACAGCTTACTTCGTTTTTAATACTTATGGCATGTTCTTTCCGAGAGAAAATGTAGGAAGATGCTATTCTTATTAGTCGGGCACATTGGTTTTGTGGTATATTTATCAAACTGCTGTTGGACTCTGCCCAGGTTAACAGCAGGTTGGATCAAATGTCAGCCTGCAGCATAACGTGGTGGTTTGTCAGATCCCATTGCTCCAGTGCGGAGTTCTTTGTATCGATTGGCTGTGGATTTCTGAGTATACTTCAACACAACAGCTTTAAAGTCTGTCAAGTGTCAGTGGCTATCACTCTTCCCCAGTTACTCAGTGGAAGAATATACTGTATACCCGATGGTTTTTTAACGCTGATGGTACGGTATAAAGGCACCATTTAAGGTTGGTTCAGCACAGGACTCTTTGCTGCTGTGATCCCTGTTTTTTTAATGCTTCTGCAATTCTCATCGGAAACTGAGACTCTGCTGTGTTTAAAGGCAAATTGGAAACCTATGATTTGAATCCACATGGCAAGTGCAGCTGTCACCGTTTGTGTTTCATGGTGAGAATAAGTGCGCTTTGCCTCTCTCTGCCGTCAGGAGCTGGAGAAAACTGCCTCCCCCGAGGCCACATCCTTCCTGAAGCCGCGGGGCAGCGGCGTCGCCCAGGAGCGGCGGGTCCGGCGCCTGCACGACCGCGCGCGGACGCAGCCCGTCACCACCGAGGAGATGGTGGTGGCCAGCAGGTAGACCGTGGGGATGGCGAGTGCTTGAGAGGGGATTGGGGGCTTGGGGCCTCTCCTGTAGGTCGAGCAGGAGCTGCGTCAGCATGCGCAGGCTGCAAGGGGACAGGCCGAGGTTTATTCCCGCTGAAACGAGACGAAAAGAAACACGACGTCTCGGCGGCGGGGGAGAGGAAAACGGGAAGCTGAATAAGCATGGGAGAACAGAAGCTGGGAGCGGAGAGGAGGCGGGAGCAGGAAAGAGGCAGAAGCCACACTCAGGTGGTGTGAAGTCGAGAGAGATGAAGAGCTGTGAAGTCAGTACCTGTAAAGGAATAGGGAGGATTTCTAGTTTCAGGATAGTTTTGGTTTCGGATGTCCTTCTGCAATAGGGCAGTGTTTTCTCAGAGCACCACTTCTGCAGCGTGTGAACTGGCAGCAGAAAAAAGTTGTAATAAACATTTTTGATGGCAGTGTGATTTAAAGAAGTGGCGCCTTAATCATTCCTCGGCTTGGCTGAGTGTACGTTGAGAAATCTGGGGGTGATTTAAGGCCTCGAATAATGAGTGGAACAGACGCCCATGTGCCAAGTCACCTCTTAGTGTTGCACAGACTTGGGGTGCATCAAGCTCTCTGCCACAGATTCTGGTCTTCTTTGGGAAATCTGCAGTGCAGGTAGGAGACATTGTAATTCATAAATAAAATTGGGTTGATGAAAATGTGAAGTTACTGTCTATCATTTAGTTAAGGGCAGTAATCTTATACTGTAGATCGGACCTAATGTCTTCCTTGACACTATCTGTAATGCTTCACAAAATCTAAGGTTGAAGTGAATCTTGTGTCCTTCAGTCTTTGGTAGGATTTTAGTATGCTACTACTATAAGAGGAATTCTAGGAAAGACTGTGGTTTGTAAAGTGTAGATCTTTCTTTTCCAGATACTGAAGAAAGCCCAGAGCACTCATTTCTGATAATATTGTCCAGCTGTGAATAGCTGGCGTATGAGGTGCAGGAATCTGCTTGCTCTTGTCCTGTTGTGTGATACAGGCTGTCAGTATGTCTGGGGCCTAATCAGAGCTTATCAGGACATTTCATAGCAAATGTCCAGACCTCTTTGTTTGAAATCAAAGCAATCTCAACTGTTTCTGAAGATAAGGCAAAAAGTGTGGTATTGAGTGGCTTTGATCAGTGATAGGCAATACTGGTGAGTAATAGAGCCATAAGATAAACTATTTTGCTCTTTGCCTGTTTTGAGTATCCTGTTTAGAAGCTAGTTACAAACACGCAGGTCTGGCAGTGTGTACTGGATGTAAAAAAATATATGTTCTGAAGAACTAGGTAGTCCAAGACAAAGCACCAGTGCAGAATCTGATGAAGTTAGAAGTATTCAAGAAGGAAGACTGTTTTTACTACCTAGATAGTCCAAGATACAAAGCAAAAAAAAAAATGGTTCACAATTCAGGGAGATCTGGAAAAGAAATGAGAGATTTATGCAAGGTCTCAGATAGAAGAGACAGAAGAATTGGATCTGATCTGGCCTCCTGGTCTGTGTTTACTGCCCTGCTTCTGGAATCCTGAGAAACAGTAAAACAAAACTCTGGTCTCTGGAGTCATAAACACATTTTCAGCTGTAAACCATCAGCAGCACAAGTAAATAAACAATAAGCAAAGCAAAAAATGCTCAAGAACCCCAACTTCAGAATACGTAGGACGTAGAGGCAGGCAATGCATTTAAGTCTGTTTTTTTTTTGCTTGTTTTACCTGGCTTTTAACTTATTTGAACCTTTTTCTTAATTAGAGCTCATAAAAATCTGTTGGAGTCCTAAGAAACAGCTGTTTTTGTTCACTGGAATTCACACTGTAAATCGGCTGAGCTTTTTTAATGATGATGCCAAGAGAGGGTACGTCATTTCAGGTGCTAGTGAAGGCACCGTGCCAGTTTCAAATGTAGGCCACCTTGCAGCTGACTTTCCAGACCCTTTGACTTTGAAAATCATCTTATTGGAGCTTAGATGGAAAACTACTTCAGCTCCCTTTGGTAAAAATAAACAACTCTGCTTTAAAAATAGAATGCAAACTGCAGTGTTAAAGGCAAGCAGTGGTACAATAAATACAGACTGGAAGAGCAGAGTCCATGGAATCAGTTTGTTCTTCACTGCTATGTCAAGCAAGTCTTTCAAAAAGAAAATTCTGCAAATGAGCAGTGATTATAACACTGTGAAGAACTGGACAGCACTGTGACCAGAATTGTGTTCCTCATTCCGAAGAACCCCTCTGTAGAACGAGCACTATCTGGTTATCCTGTCAGAAGAAGTTCTGCTTTGTCCTACAGGGTATTCCTGACAGCACCCTGACTGACATTGCATGGGCAGAGGATTTGTTTGGTGTTAATATGTTCAAAATAGGTGATTAAACACCGGATTAATATTAATAAATATATAGAATATGGAAAGATGGAAAGAGTGCCATTGCTGAGTAGCTTGCTCTCTTCCAGCACCCACCCTGAGTCATTTTTTGATCTGTGCAACCTGCAGCTTGCCGAAGGCAGGGGCGTCAGGCGAGGCCCAGGCGGCACAGGCCGCACTGGGAGACGCGAGGCTGGTGGCGGAGGATGCCAGCTCCCAGCTGACCCTCGGCGAGAAGCTGGCCCTGTTCAACAAGCTGGCCCAGACGGAGGCCCAGACGGAGCTCGTGCTCGAGGCGGGGGACCGGAAGAGGAGGCAGAAAGAGGCCCGGTACCGCACGCAGCCCATCACCGTCAACGAGGTGGAGATGGTGAGTTCGTTTCACTGCCCATTCGTCTCTCGGGAGTCTCTCCTTGGGCCACGGTCGTTGCTGCTGTCGCTGTGTCTTAAGGACTGGTGCCCTCAGTGATTGTACTGGTGCACTTGATTTGCTTCAAAATGCACGCCGTAAAAATAGTAGTAGAATCCGCAGAGCATCCTCAGGCAGAGATGTTATTCCTGGTTCTCTCAGAAGTTTTACAGTGGGTTTGGGGAATTTGTTTTTCATCAACAGCAGAGATGAGGAGATCCTGTGACACTCTGTTTCTTTTTAAAATGGATCTCCAGGCTCCTTCAGCAGCAGGAAAACAAACACGCCAGAGTCGGTGCATTTTTGTTGGTTGCATTCTGTTACAAACAAGGCTCTCCAGCCATAACATCTGTCCAGAAAGAATCCAGTTCACATGGTTAACTAACTTCTTCCATACTCTCACAACACTTTGTGTAAAGAAGTGTCTTCTGTCTTCTGATCTGCCTGGCAGTACCATGATGTTTTTGAAGAGTAGTGTCAATCGTGTTTCCCTTGACTTCTCTGCTAAGATATGACTTAGCAGCAGAAATATATTATAGCCACTCTATTTAAAACATATTTCCCTGTACCTCTTTATTTTCTATTGCTCTAGAACAGTGCACAGTGTTATGGTATCTGCATGTTATGAAATGTCACATTTAATGGCAGAATCAGCCTCATCTTCCTGGTGAGTGATTTCAGCTGAGAGACCACAGACAAGGGCGATTTGTCCCTGCGCTGCTGTTCTGTTGCAGACCGCAGGGGAGTGAGTTCTCTGAGTCTCCCCCTGGGCTGTGCCTCTGTAAAGGTCTGAAATGGTGAGAAAAGACTTCTGCTTAATGAATAAATAAATAATAGCAGAAATAACAATTATAATGAGGTTCTCAAGGAAACAAACAAAACCCTGTGTCTCAGCACTCCTTGGGACAAAGTGGCCTGAGAGCAAGTCTGTCACAGATGTGCTTGGAGGAACATCTGGAGCGAATTAGCACACGGGATTGCGTCTTGTGTTCCTGCTCCTCCTCTTTACGTCCGAATGCCTCTCAATGCAAAATGCCATGACCTTGTGTGTCCTCACCGGAGAGGAGAAACTCCACGCATCCTCGGATCCGAACAGAATCCTGGGAGACGGTGTAGAATTCCAAGGCACTCCCATGAGCCCCAGGCCGTTTGGAGACGATCGTTCCCTGTGTCGGGATTCCCAGAGACCACCCAGCTTCCTAATAAATCGTGTAATTACTGCAGTCAGGTTCTGAGGGGCATGCTTATCATGGTGCTCAGAACCGTTCCTGCAACAAGGAATGCAAACAAGGTGCCTTTGATTTTTTGTTGTGTTGTGCTGCTGTGTGTCTGAGGAGCCACAGTGTGGAATGCAGTGAAACATGCCCAGTGTGTTATGGGGGCATGAAAGCATAAAAGCTAAGAAAGAATATGACTGTCTTCTAACACAGCTGCCCCAGACATTTCCAATCAGTGAGTCTGCTTCCTTCCAAAGCTTATGTATTGTCTCAAACCACACATTTACTTCCTTTACAAAATCTCATGATTTGTTCAAGTTGTCTCTGGTGTTCGTTAATTATGTTGTTTTTCTGCCTGCTGAGTGGAGACATGTTCAATCAGATAGCTGTATTGTTTAATTTTTAGATGGTTTTAATCTGAAAACAGCCTCAGTCTCTCATCTTGTTACTGCACCACATTGGGATAGAGACTCGACTTGATAGTTTTCCTTGTGTATTCATGAACATTAGAATTAAAGGGACACGATTTAAAACTGCCTTTCTCTCAGTGTTCTTTAATTTATAGGCGTTTTAAAAAGGTCTGGTGCTGTTATACACTTTTAACAGGTATAAGACAATTGATGTGCTGTAAGGCTCTCATATTCCTCAGCTAGATACTGGGATAAATAAACAACTTGAAGAGAAATGTTTAGATTGAAAAGCTGCTGTTTTAGTACTGCGAGAGTGTCATTTATTTTTATATATACTGAATAGGTGGTGCTTATAAAAGGAGTTGATGTTGATTCAAACAAGTGTGTGGTGAAAACTGTGCACCATGCTGTAATGACATGTGTGATGCATGTGAAGGATACACTCCTGTATTCAGAGACCGTGGGAACTGAAGATTTGTGCTCTTTCCTTCTGCACAGGAAGACCACCATGGGCAGAGATGGAGGTCATGCTGAGCTCACGTTTGCACTCTATCAAATGTCATTATTCCACTGGCCCAGTGTTCACGTTACTGACTTATTAATAGGCCACCAGCCTCTCTACATGACCGTGGTGCTGTGTAGTGTCTGTAGTGTTGACCGTGGTGTGTTAGAATCACAGGCTTCTGGTTGCTGAGATCAGGTTCCCTTTGTCTTCGCAGCTGCAGAAGGGTCCCGCTCAGCTGCCCCCTCTGCATCTCAGCCGCTCGGCCCGTCTGGAGCCCGGCGAGGTCGGGCAGATCGTCCCAGCGGAGAGGCTGGAAGGAGAGGAGACCAGGAGCGCCGGTTCCGGGGTGAGTCCTCAGCACAGCGATCCCGAGTCTCGTGAAATCCGGGGCATCCTGAAGAGGCGAACGGGGAGCTCGGAGTGCGAGAGCTGCGCGGGCAAGGCGACCAGCTCAGAGGTGAAGGGCCAGGCGCGTGAGGGTCCCCCGGACCCCCCCGGAGAGGGCGGGGACGCCAGTGCAAGTCTCTCTGCGGATCACACAGCTGGGGGTCCGGACAGGGAAGCAGAAGAGCCATCCAACATCCCGCCGGAGAGCGGCGAGGCGCTTTCCTCGGAGACCAGCCCCACGGGGTCCGCCCCCTGGAGACACAGGGACAGGTCGAGCTCCTCCGGCTCGAAGGACCTGTCCCCCGAGGACCAGCGCTCCGCCGGGAAGCCTGATGGCTCAGTCCTGTCCGGAGAAAGCGAGGAGCTGGACAGCTCTTTGGATTCCAACCTGAGCTCTTCTTTTAAGGAAAGGTACAGCACTGGGCTCTTTGCCTTTCTGCTCTTGAAGGGTGTAATACCTCTGTTCCCCGTCCCTGCCTTTAAAGCTAACATGAGCATTGTTTGACTAAACCGTTACACTACTTTTTGTTGACACTGAACAAAAAATGTTTGTATAACACAAGGTGTGTATCAATAAATATTTAGATACATCTAATAATATCTAGGGTGAAAAAAATAAAATTGTGCTGCGCTTCGCAGTGAGATGTGTTCGCTAAAAACATGATCACATCTGTAGTGGCAAAGAGAATTCGGGCAGCGAAATTGAGGGCTCTCGGTTCCCTCTCCACAGGAGAAAGTAAGAGACACTAGGCTGTACCCCCAAATTGTTTTTTTTGCAAATTTGGAATGACTGGTGTTAAACTACACATCTTCATTGATGAGGAGACCCCATTTCCTGTTACATCTGCTCCTGTCCTCAGGGTTCAGCAAGGTGTAGCAGGATTTGAAATCTCAGTAAATCGCCAGCTGGAGTTTTGCTGTTTCTTCACCTGACCTGTATCACAGGCTGTGATTTCCTCCCTGTTTGAATTGGAACCTCCAGAGTGAGCCTGTCTGAGGCAGTGCTGTTTACAGTAATACCAAGGCCACTTCTGCGGGTGGGTGTTCGCTGTGTCTTGAGGCGAAGGTCAGGTGTGTGACTGGAGAAGGGCGTGAGGGTTCATCTGTACTGTGCTGGAAAGGGTGCCTCTCTGACTCGGGCCCGTCTCTGCAGACTGGCGCAGCTCACGAGCGGGGAGCAGGAGCACAAGAGGGACACCAGGAAGAAGCCCGGCGATGTCGTCCACATGTCCCTCAATGACCGCTTCAGCCAGCTGCAGGACGCCGAGAACGCCTGGAGGAAGAAGGTAGGAGGAACTCAGCTTGTCCTCGGTGCACTGAAACCTCTCAATTCTCACTGTGGCATTAACCGAGATCTGGCATGAGGGACGGGCGTCCAGAGCTGTTTGTCACTTTCAGCAGATCAGTGGTGGTTTGTATTCGCTGATTAGTTTTGTCTACACAGAGGTGTCTAAACTCACTGGCTAAAACAGGATTTATATGCATCAAATTTTGTTCATTGGGAGAATTTGTACAGGAAGGAGTGGAGTGCGAGAGAGAGAGAGATCGTGCTGGAATCTGCCCTTTTTTGTGTATCTTTTTCATTTTTGCCTCTGGAAAAACTGCCGTATTTCCTCTGATCATTTTACTTTAGTTCCATTATTAGAATGTAGATCAGGTTAGTCCTGTCCTGCTGTTTCTTCCTTCATGTGACATAAGGTATGAATATTGTACTGGTTTAAGAACATTCCCTGTTTTTTATTAAAGCTTTTGAGTTGCTGAAACTCAAAGATCCTAGAAGATTGAAGATTTCTGAAGACTCTGAAGCTCTTAAATTCAATACATCATATGCATATTTCCATCAGTAACCTTGTTCATGTTGATGAATATTTTTAGCAGAGAGTTTTGTGCTGCTGATTGCAGATGTTCTGATAAAGACTTTTGCCTTAAATCATAACCAGATGTAATATTGTTTATTTTTAAAATAAATTTTATTCAGCTTCGAAATACTTATTTTGTTAAATAATAAAACATAAAAATGCAATTCCAACTGCATATATCATTATTATTGCTAGCACAAGTAATAACAGCTCTAACCATTATTATAATTAGCTATTGGACAACAGATTATGTCCCATTTGAACAAAGCATATACAGTTTTATTGTGATTAGAAACATGCATTTGACTTTGCTGGCTGGAAGAAAACAGCTCAGAACTCGAGCCCAATAGCCACCTTGCTGCTTTCAGAGGCTGTTTGGTAGTTTTTTTTCTGCAGTGAGATTGGAAAGTATTTTTGAGCAAATGCTGCTTCAGCGTTCACAGATTTGCTCTGCCAAAAGGGGAGATTCGAACCTCACAGCTCCACATTTCTGGGCATTTATGATTCTCTGTCACCAGAGCTCAGCAATGTTCATGCATGGACAGTAGCCAGAGAGCTTTTTTAACTATATAAATTCAGATTACTTCAACATTTATTCCACTCTTTGTGTGCTCACACACATGATCTTCGCTTTTTCCTCTAATCCTGGTTTACGGGATTTTAGCAGTCTTACAGGAGAGAAACTCCAAAACCTACGTGAACAGGTTAAAGGAATTAAATATTTTCACTGTTCAAGAGAGGCAGCTTAGTAAGAACTTGACACAAGAATTTTGGATCCTGAATAGTATTGACAAAGCCAATCCTGATGTCTGTTCCAGTAACACTAACCCTGAACCTTGAAACTGGGACTATACAGTCTAAGGGAAAACAGAATTTAGGACCAAAAACAGCAGGCAGTTCTTTACACTAAAGGTGGCAGGTGTCTGAAACAGGCTACCCAGTCATGTTGCTCACTCTGGCATCACTCAGCAACACCTGAATCATTGGACCACTGGATCAGTTGCATCAGTATGCTGCTACTAAAAGAGCAAGAAGAACTCAATGGCTTCTCGTTTGTCATTTTCACTATGTCCTAGATGTCTTTCATGGTGATTTTGTGCTGGCCTGCAGAACAGCCCTTTTTGTGCTCTGTTGGTTCAGTGGAGTAAAGGTTCATGCAGTGTGTAGATTCTGGGATCTGGGAGTGTCTTATACACTGCACAGCGATTCCACTTGCTCATCATCGACTGGACTCAGAGGCGTCTAGACAGCCGCAGGGAATCGGCAGTTTATTAAATGCAGCCAAGAGCTGAACAGTTTGCAAACTATCTAGGCAGGACAGTCCTTAAAGAGCTTTCTGAAACTGGGGACTGAAGGTAGACTTTTTTCCACAGACATTCTAATAAAGCTAATAGTTTCCTTAAGGGATCAACAAGCCAGAGTGAAAAAGGGACCAGCTGGAGGGGAAATTACTGACACAGGGGACCAGGAGCAAGATTGAGAAATGCCGTTCCAGCTGTCACCAAGCTCTGAGCTCTCTGCGTCTTAAAGCAGCCTGTTTCTTATCACAGAAACCGGTACTGTTCCTTTGCACGTGGACTAGAGTCAGCTGCACATATGTTCATTTTCATTCGTTAATTAGCTGCTATGCCTTAACATGAAAACAGTTGTTTTTAACACCTAGTTCACTGTAGGCTCCGCCTTTTGCAGGACCCCTTGCACTCTTGTAGAGCAAGGCAACGTGCCCTCAAGCAAGCTGCAGCCTCCAGGCCCTGCGCTGTCAGTGCGGATCTCTGTCTGATTTACTTGCTGGGTGTAAAAGCTGGGGCCAGTCAGGGGGCAGCGTGTGGAACAAAGGGGCCTGGGTTTGGAGTGATGGAGTGATGAGGAGTTTGAAGGCAGCTGAGTAGTGAGCAGCTATGAGCTGCCCTAGACAGGGTTATATAGGTCGAACTTACCCTTACCGTACATATCATCTGCAGTTTCCAGAGATTTAATTACCTTTCACTATGCTGCTATCACAGTTGCCAATTTACAGTTTAGTAGTAAGATTATAGAAAGATTACAGATTATTCTCACAGGCACACACAGACACAAACCTACACACAGTCACAGTCCCACCAGGGCCAATTTCACAGAAGCCAATTAAGACACCAGCATGTTTTTGGACTGTGGGTGGAAACTAGAGGCCCTGGAGGAAACCCACACAAACCCTGGGAGAACATACAGACTCCGCACGGATAGCACCCTAATCCAGAATTTAACCCAGGAGCCCAGCACAACCACTGCTCTGTGACTGTAATGGTGTATGATAAAATAGAGATTAGTATTTGCACTTTGGGCTCTCCTTTACAAGACTTTCACTGCGCCTTACAGTCCTGATCCAGGAAGTGTTGGGTAGGGTACAGTTGCTCTGCCCTTGGCCTCGTTTCATTATCATCGTCCCGTGTGGCAAAGCACAGCGAATGTGCGGCGAAGGGACTGGAGAGCAAGAGCACATGGCCTCAGACAGGACACGGGGGTGGTGGTGGATTTTGCTCCGGGAGATTCAGCAGAGAAGCAGAGTGCCCTTCCACCCTCACGTGTCCCCTGTGGAAAAACTCCCTCATTGCCATTATTTTAATAGGTGTAATTTATTAGTCAGCCTTTACCGCTTTGTGAAACTGTCCGACTTGGCCCCGCCTGCGAACTCCCCCTCGGCGCTCGCCCTGCTCTGGGAAAACAAGGAGACATCGGAGAGCTGCGGCTTCGGTTTCAGAGCCTGGGGCGGGAGGAGAGAAACACTCTCTCAGTCAGCTGTAACTGAGCCCCAGCAGATGGTTTCCTGCCCTGCTTTCCCCCTGAAGACGGGTGAACATAAACGATGATGTGTGTTAACGCGGATGCGATCTTAAGTCGCTAGAGAGGAAAATTGAGATGTTTTCTCTATTCCTTTTAAACTCGCCAAAGTAATTTTTCTTCCAGGGTTTGCAAAGAAAGTGGTTGTTGATTTTATGTCTGTTTTTATTTTTTTAAGACGATGACTATTATGCATTTCAAATTATTGGCAGTGATGAGCTTTGCTCTTGGCACCTACCCACCCGTCTCAGGACTGCCAACCTAGGCTGGCAGCGAGGGCCTCGAGGAAGGCTGCACATGAGATGAGGCTTTTTGCCTCATCTTACTCATTTCTAAAGTTTTAGCAGCTTCTCGAAAGGGGCTTCACCCAATGTGCAGGAATGTCTATTACAGACACTTGCACCTCTTTTGGTAAAGATGTGTGATCTGCTGTTCATCCTAAATGAATTCCCTTTTATTTCCCAGTTGTGACCCCATGACTCTACTTTACCATTGCCTCTGAAGTGCCCTGGGTTGGTGCAATCGATACTTTTAGTATATTAGTATTTTAAAAAAATGTCTAGTATAGTGGGCACAAAAACTTTAATGTCATAACTTTTGTGTCATATAATAAAAACCTTTATTTTACAGTATATACTGTAGCACCTTTAATGATGCATCATCTTAAAGCAGTGTACTAAAAATAAACAAAAGAGACTGGCATGCACAAATTAAAACAATAAAATAAACTTTGTTAAAACAAGTGTATAATTCAGGATGTATTGTTTATATAAATGAGTCGAATTTCTGGATCTGATATGAGCTGGGAGATTGATTGATCTTGGAGCAGCGGAACACTGACTCCCAGTGCCTCTCAGTGTTGGAGCCTTTTAGTAGGAACTGAAAGCAGACCTGAGGCTCAGGATTTAAAACGATCTGTAGGTGTTTAGGAGATTAACAGTTCACTGATGAAGTCAGGAGCCAAACCGTTCTAGTTTTTTAATGGTGAGCAACAGTATTTTGAATCTTATTCAGAAATCCGCAGGGAACCAGGGCAAAGAAGCACAAGCAGTTGAGGCATTGTTTTTGGATAATTCTGGGACAAAATATCCTGATTTGCTGCAGGAGCCCATCTGTCCCTAAATTCCAAGAGAAAGTGTAAAACAGGAAATATCAATTTTTGTTTTGAGCATCCGTTTGAGGATTAAGCTTTAATGGGGGGTTGAATGAAAAGCTTTCTGAACATCTTAATATACAGTATCGTGTCATTTGCTTTAGGCTTCTCCACTGTCTTTGCTACTTGTTCACAGAATTCCTGTTAAACAAGATGATCCTGTTTTAAATCCATATTGGCTTATATTATTTTGTAAATACTTTGGCAGTTAAGTTTTCCCTATCTTTAGCTTTATAACTGATACATAACTGATATTTCTCTGTTATATCCTAGTTCAGTCTGGTCCCCGTTTATGAATTGTGTTACGTTTGTAATTCTCCGGTCTGTGGGTACCAGTAACCATCAATTCTCCCAGCTGTCTTAAACATCCTCCCCCGAGAAATCTCGGTCACAGTTTGCTGGAGATGATGATCTAGCCATCACGGGTTCAGGCCAGAATCAGAAGTGCAACCTGTAAAAGCAAGGTCTTTTATCACCTTAGCCACAGGCCTTGGCAATAATGTTCATAATATTATTTCAGATAATGGCAAGTTTTTATTTTTCAGCATAGTAGTTACTTCTGCTTGAGGACCAGAAGAACACTATAAGGTTATACTTTAATGCTTCTGATAAAAGCTGACTTTTATCTGCCTTTTATTTAACTGGAAACAATTTCAATGAATATTTGAATTTATAATTATAAACACTGCTGTGAATGCATTGACCAGTTCAGGGATAAGGAGAGACATTAACTCTCGAATTTCACACAGTTCAGCTCTGCCCAGTATCATTTCACAGTGTTGAAAGACTGTGACTCAAGTAAACTATCTGCTATTAGCCCAGACACCATGAATAAGCTAGAACACTGCATAGTGCCAACTGTTCAAGAGGCTTTTAAACCCATTTTATAGACACTCGCACCCAAAATATTATTATATAATTAATGGAAAACATGCATTCCCATAGCATTAAATGCATGATTTAAGTTTCATATTCATAAAAATCCCAAACTGTGACTGACTACAGAAAGCACAGCCGGGATCAGCTGGAAATATGACTTCAGCCAGATGGTAACTCTGGCTGAGTTAATATTGTTTTGTTTCGTCTTAACTGCTTCATGATTTAGCTCATGGGAAGTCAGTGTCCATTTGTGTGCGTTTCTTTAGTTTCACTGTATCAAGACATACTGCACAGACGGACACAGCTGTCTAGAAATGAGAATGTAAGGAAACAACAGACAGGTTATATTCAGTGTTGAGAATGTGAATTAATCACGAGTGAGCGATTTGTAGCAGTGGTTTCTCAAGTCCTTCACTTGCATTATGCTTTATGAACGATGATGCTTTAACAGTGGTGGTCCAGGGGACCCACACGCCTGCTGGTGTTGAATCACCTAAATGATTAAACAAATAATTGACCTCTTAATAGACCTATTAATAAATCTGACCTCCTTCATGCACTGTAGGAAGCAGCGTTTTAACTTTTGTGTTTCTTAGGTTGACTTAAAATCTTGATTCTTTGAGGAGAAAGGAAACCTGAAAAGCTTCTAACCAAGCATCTTGTGGCCTCTGCTAAGGATTCGTTCATGTCAAGAGCTCAACTGCAATGAAACCTACCAGCAGGTGTGGGGGTCTGCTGGGAATCCCTGCTTTAAGAGAATAACTGCCAGCGTGTTTGGTTAAAGCAGTCTGGGGTTAAAGCTCTTTGCCGGGTAGGAATGCTGACCTTTTCAGGGCAATAGTGGTGTTAAACCACTATTCAACTGCCAAATTGCAGAAAGTAATTAATGTATATCAAAGATTACACACAAGAGAATGCAATATGGGTTTCGTTAGTTAATTCATCCAGCACTTGCTTGAGAGAAACTGGACCAGGGTATCAGCTTCTACAACATGACAGTGTAGCCTTTTCCACTCTCCTGCAACACTTTGTATACAGATTTGCCTGTGTCATATATGATATGTTATGAGCTGTTGATGTGCAACACAAATTCCCTTAGGGGCAATACAGGTGAATTCCATCCAGCTCAGCTCAGCGTGGGGAGGTCTTCCACTGGGATCCAGTGAGAACGGGAGGTCAGGCGCTGAGGAGACTCCTACTTCATAGAAGAGGACAGCACAAAACAATAAAACAAATCCTAAGCCACGCTCACCCCTTGCCCGAATGCAGATTGGTGGGAGAGAGCTGGCTAGAGCTTTGGCATCTGTATTCGTTACCTCTGGCCCAGCCTGCAGGTGTAATTGCACCCTTTACAGTACATCAGAGGGGTTTTAATAATAGTGACCTCATCTTTGGCTGGCTGAGTCTGAGAAACCTTGCACTTACATATAACTCACTATCGGACAGTTATTAATCGCGACCTGCCAGGATTGTGATAAATGGTGTATTTATACGTCACGAGGAATATCGCCTAAATAGTCTGGGCACAGGACACCCCCCATCCCCATGCACAGCTGTCTGTTCCGTTTCAGGTTTTGCAAGTGAAAGGCTCCTGCGCATATTGCATAGACAGAATAGAAGCATAGAAAAGATAGAAAAGAAAATAATAAGAATATGCAAATGTTATATTATTTTACAGAACTAAATAGGTCAACCAGTTTTTGGCAAATGTTATAAATGTCATCATTTCATAGACGAAAGGAACCCCACTGCATGATTTAAATCTCACAATCAAATATGCTTGTCCATGTGCTCAAATAATGTGTGAAGAAATGTAAAGGTATCCATTAAGAGACACACGAGTGATGACAATAGGGTGGTCATACATCACACTCTCCCAGATTCTTATGGATGTCTTGAGTTTTTCCCTAATTAGCAGTTTGTTTTGGATTATGGGATCGTGGCATCACGAGACCCAGAAAGTGGGGGAAAACCCAGGTTTCTGGTTTTCAACGACCTCCGAGTCCCTGTACAGCTGCTCATTCTGTCTCCTGCTGTTTTCCGCTCTCTCTCTCTCTGCTCACTCCTCTTCTTCCCTTCTCTCCCCTCGCCTCTCCCTGTAGGTAGAGCTTGAGTGTCCTGCTGGTGGTGCTGCCTGCACCCACTGCTGGGTAAGCGAGCCGGGCCTGGTCCCGCACAGAACGTCAGGCCTGTTGTCTTCAGACGCTCAGCTTCATTTCCTGCTTCCTGTCTTTAACTACCCACGAAAGAAATACAGCTTGTAGTCATTTTATTGGCCGTAATTATTCTGCTGTATTCATTTGGGGATCATTACCTTTATTTGCTTTACAGCTCTTGTTCTCTGTCACCTCTATCACTCCATAGCCAGGCTGTAAAGGAGTCTTTTTCCGAAGGGCTGGCATTAACAAAAGCAGCTTTGTTAACATTGTGGCCTTCTAAAAATTATTTTTCTTTATCTGCCCGGAGATCTCCAGCTGCACTGCAACTGGATTGGCCTTGCAGTGCACCAGTCCAGTAGGTCTGAAGGTGGCCTCAGTGCTGTTATATTGACAAGTACAGTCCAGGGGCACTCTCAGCACAGCACAGAAGAGGCTGCGAGAATCAGCCTCAGCCTAAGTACATCAAGGTCTGACTGAAGAAACATGATCTTGACTGCTTGTGTTGTAGCAGAAGAAGTAACCTAGAATCATAAAAGCTTGAATTGAATAATGACAGAACCTTCCTCCGTCTCTCCTGCTCACCCGTTCTGTGTGTTCCCAGGAGCCTGTCTACTCCTCTATCTTTGTCCCTGTCAGCACTCCAGCCCAGTATGTAGTCTGTTACAACCAGGTGAGCCTGCATGCTGCCTGCATTTCCTCTGGAGTTCTGTGTGTGCTGTGCTGTCAAGCTACTCTAGCCCTAGACTACAGACTCCTAACCCAGATCACTTGTCACTGCCCCTGCCAAGAAGACTGATTACAGTTCGACCGAGATCCATTGAGTAAATAAGGAAATAGCTGTGTTTTAATTACGGAGGGGCCAATATTCGTTAGCATCTCCGATTAGGAACTGTTCCCAGGAGTTTGAAGTTTCTGTAAATGGGTTTCATTTACAGTATTAAAAGCACCAGGTGTTTGGGCAAAAAACATCTGAGACACTCTGTGATTTTTAGCCCCTTTAGTGCGGGATATTTAAGAAAAGTCATCTCAAATAAAGAACACAATGGTGTCAAATTTCTAAAATATTGACTAATTATAATATGATTATATTAATTATTAAATAATAATTTAATTATTTCAACATTTAAATGCTTCTTAGTGGCTGGTAGTATAGCCATGATCTAGCTTAGCAGAAAACAGCAACCACGAAAAACACATTACACAGTTATTGCTTAAGTGTTCATTTTAGCATGAGTTTCCAGTGCAGTTTTTTTAAATCTGTGTAGTAGAATTAGACCTATAAGCTCTGAAAAATATTTATGGAAAGACCAATCCTGTGTTCTCTTATTTTTTTTTTACTTCCAGCTGCTACAAAGTACCTTCATTAGCAGTGTTGGCATTTTGGGGTTAATACAGAGAAATCCCATGTTTAAAATAAGAATGTGTGACAGTACTCAGGGATTCAGATAATGCCACTCCTTCACTAAGAGGAGGAGACACAACCACCCATGTCTGATAGAGTTTGACCTCGTTAGTCTCACTCATCCTGAAACAAAAGGTCAGGCAGCCTGGTATTTACACTGTTTGTACCAGGGGCCAACTGCAGTATTTTTTTCATTGTAATGTGAGAGAGCCGTGTGCCTCTGACGCTGTTTAGTCATGAAGTCGGTTTCCTGCGTGAGGAGAGGTGAGAGGGCCAGCCGGCGGGGGCTGTGAGCTATTCCTGCGCAGACGTGCTCGCAGAGAAACCACAGGGGCGCCGCTGCCGATCGGCAACTCTCCCCAGGCCAGTGAGGGCTCGTATCTCAGAGCCTGCGGCCTGCGACTGCTCGAGAACACTTGTGTGTATGTGGAGTTTACAGCCTGTTCACTGGACAGGCCGCTTAGCCCTCCACCCCCAGCTCTCAGGCCCCTGAGCAGCAGGGCCTGCCTGAAACCGGAGCTCGGAGCTCAGAGCTCGGAGACAGAGCCTCCCAACGTACCCACCAGCCCCAGACCCCCCCTTTCACCGAGACCAGTGTCCACTTGTCCACTGACAAGAGAGGGTCTGCAGGTATCCATCACAGGACAGACACACACACACACACACCCTGGACAGGACGCCAGTCCATCACAGCACACACACTCACACCAGAGCCAGTTTTCCCAGAAGCCAATTAACCTACCAGCGTGTCTTTGGACTGTGGACCCATGCAAACAGGAGGAGAACATGCAAACTCCACACAGACAGCATCCCCAGGACTGGTCCCCAGTACTGCAAGGCAGCAGTGCTAACCACTGCGCCACCATGAGGCAATACATTGATTTCTTAATCGGTTAGCACTTGCTGTCATTCCTTTGGTGTGGTAAAACTGCGGAATCGGTTCCAGAACTGTACTTGAAACTCTAATCCGTTTATTTTGAGCAGCCTTAGGATGCCAACTGGCACCATGCAGGATAAGTCACTGCTGTCTGAGGTCCAGCAGGAGGCCAGAAATTTTAGTATTTTACTTGCGATAAGAAAGGGTTTTTATTTCTCCCTCTGTGAAGAACAGGGTTGTGCAGATCACCTGAGGCAGTGAAAAGGCCTGTGTGATTTCTTCACAGTGCTGTGGCCTACTGTGAAATCACTTACCAAAATTTGCATGTTTATTGTGTCTCGCTAAATACCAAAATAAGTGAAGCAAACTTTTACTGTGGAAAAACAGGCTTAACAACATTAGAATGTTGGTATTGGAATGCATCATTATTAGCAGGAAAAGGAATAAAATGTGTCAGAAAGCCTGGAAATACACCAAAAACAGTACAGTATAGAAGAAATTTAAGATTAATCTGGTACAAAGCATCCCTTAAGAAGGACTCTTATTATTAGTAGTTGTAGTGATCCAGAATGGCAATATAGTCTTTCTAGGTTAAGACTTTCTAAATCCTGAAACTGTCTGTCCTCTCCCTTGTTTAACCTGCAGCGGTCAGTCCCATAGCTTGTTTCATGTTTAATGGATTATCCTTGCAACAGATATCCCTTAAATACTGGATTCCCTTCACAGTCTGATCTTGCTGGGTGTTAAGAACTAAGCGTACTGGGTGTGTTGACATTTTCATCATAGTTTCAGAATAGTGTGGAGTAGTTTCAGGAAGACTCCCGTCGCTGCCCGAACATTGCTGGATCCTCTGACTGTGAGCAGTTGCTTTTCCTGCGGAGCCTCCAGGTCTTTTCTCATCCCGCTGCTCAGTAAAAGCTTGGAATGTTACAGTAATTAGACTCCGGTCCCGGTGGGCACTTTCATCTTGTTGAGTTATGAGGTTCTTCGACACCTAGAAGCACCAGACCCAAGTGGGCTCCACATGTGGAAACAGCCACATTGCACGAATAGCAGGGCTCCCAGTCCCAGTCCTGGGGCCCCAGCGTGTCAGCAGGCGGACCCGAAGAGCTGGGAGAAGTCGTTAAACTGGTACGGCTACGACCGTAACCAGCTGGGTTTGCTCATCGAGAGCTGAGTTGCAAGAAAAATCCACGAACACTCTGGCACTGCAGGTGGAGAAATAGATGCCTCTGATGTGTTCCTGCAGACTGGCTCTTAGTGTCCAGCTGATTCCCAAGACACTGAAGGAGCATGAAGACCCTCAGGTCCAACCCCAGCGCAGGGCCTGGTTCTGGCCTTTTCTCCAGCCCAGTCACCTTGGCCAGGGTGATCCTGCTCTGAAAACCCCTGAGTCTTTAGGGTCACCTGTTCCGGTTCAGGGAGAAGCAGGAAAAGCCTGTGATCTGTGTGACAGACTGGAGGGAAGGTGTTCAGACTCCATCATTATTCCTTTATTTTTTATTGGATGGCTTGATCCTGCAAACAAAAACTGTTGTTGCATTAAGAGACAAAGTTGTAACTGCAATGCAGTAAATCAAGGGCACGAATTTGCATTCCCTGTCATTTTTTTTAACCTTTTTAAAAGGTCTCCATTGCATTAGGGACCTGTGTAGGCAGGGAAATGAGAAATGAAAAGGATTTTGTTCTTTTCTATATAAAGCTTTGAAAATGTTCTGGAGGTGAGAGTAACGAGTGGCAGCTGTCCTGACTGTGATGTTCCTTCTCCTTCTTCTCTCTGTCTCGCCCGGGTTCTGCAAGACCACTCTTTCCTATGAGGCCCAGGAGGTCTCCCAGACACAGGGCTACTCTCAGCCTCCCTGGAGACAAAAGGTGACCACTGTGCCTTCAGGCCTGGGCTCTGGCCACTGGGCAGTCTGGCTTCAGCGGACCTCTGTGACTACGCAGGACAGGACAGAGGATGGGTTTTCCAAAAACATTTTGCACGCAAATTGCTCTTCCTTTTGAGGAAGTAATAGGAAAAAAATCAAGCTTCACTCTCTTTTCAGAGAAACTGTTGATACAAAAAGAGCTTATTTTGAACAGAATTTGTTTTCCTGTGGAGCAGATGTTTGCGCTGTGCAATCCACAGATAGCAAGGCTGGCAGGTCCATGATCCTCAGCAACAGGTCATTTTCCACTTAATTCCTATATAGTTAACGCCCTGCTTACCTGTTCACCCTAATGAGCGTCTAAATTTGTGAAAATCCATCCCAAAAACTGTTCAAGTCTCTGCGTGCATCTGCTGGCCCGCTCCATGTTGTGCTGTTTGTAATTTTGTGTTGCATTAGTGTTATTTTGTGTTCCTGGGTTAAACCAGATCTTTCTCATAATTCTATTGGCAAGTTTTTTTTTCTGATATTTCATTTTTATTTGATCTCATCCAGTTGTTTCTTTGAAAGACTCCCGGGTCTCATCTTTGTGGCTTGTCGTGAAATCTCTCACCCTGTTGTGACACCACCTTTCTACTACAGTATCTCTAGAAACCCCAACAGCCCAATGCCGTTACAATGCTGGATACTAAAATCTGTAGCCAGCTCAGTCCTTGTTTACAACAACGTGAGCACACAGAGCATTGCTGCTTGCTAATTCTGAAACTGCTTTCGAATTTCTGAGTTTCAGATGAAGAAGTTCTGAAAGGGTGTTTAGTTAATAATGAACTGATAGTTTTCTCTCTGCTTGGTCAGGTTTTAGCTTGCTCGCCTGAATGAGGGCAGTCCTGAAGCTCACTAATTGGTGCAGGGTTAATACACACCTGTAATAGAAAGGTGAAATTAATTAGCCTCTGATTAAGAACTGGATTGGAGCAGTCGAGAGCCCCTAGTCAGTTGAACCTTTAATTTAACTTCTAATATTTTGGGGGGATTTCAGAATACTGCTTTTGGGGTGGTGGCTCTGTGGCTAAGGATCTGCTCCTGTGACTGTAAGGTTGCCGGTTCAAATCCCGCAGTTCAAATCCCGCAGCCGGCAGAGGAATCCTACTCCGTTGGGCCCCCGAGCGAGGCCCTTAATGCCAACTGTTACTGTTACTTAACAGCTGACCCTGCGCTCTGACCCCAAGCTTCTCTCCCTGTTTGTGTGTCTGTGTCTCATGGAGAGCATGGTGGGGTTCCTAATGCAAGAAATTGTATAGGGCTAATAAAGTGATGTGATGTGATGTTATGAAACTGATGTTATTAAAAACAATCCAGCAAACTCAGGATAGCCAGTTCAGGATAACCCCTGACTGCTCCCCTCGGCTTTCCCACAGAAACCCTCCGCGGAGGTGGAGACCAAGCTGAGCCTGGCGGAGAGGATGCGGATCCTGCAGGAGAAGGAGCAGCAGTGGAAGACGAGGGGGAAGGGGGCCTCCAATGACTCCACGCAGTTCACGGTGGCGGGCCGCATGGCCAGGAAGGGTGTGTGTTTCTTGAGAAATGAACTGCTGGACTCTTGCGACCTACTGATTTACTTCAGCTTGGGCCCGACCGAAAAGCTGGTTTCCAGCTGTAAAGTAGGCAGTGAATGAAAGAGACCTTCAGAAGAGCGCCTAGTGTTCTGCACACCTTCACCTTGATAATCCCTGCTTCTTCCCAATAAGTGTCGGGGCAATTCAGAGCCGATCCCGGAAGCACAGGTTGTGAGGTGGGATTCCGCCCAGGTCGGGACGCCAGTCCATCACAGTCCACACTATTCTTCACGAGGAGACAATTCGAAGGCTCCAGTTAACCCAGCCAGTAACTAGCCACCAATAACCTTTTTCAAGTGTCAAAATTAGGCTAAGGTGACTCTTGTCCTGATTGTATGACAGGCGTGGTGACTGGAAAAGAGGACTCTCCCATCATACAGAAGAGATCTGCAGGGGGAACTCCAGTAAAGCCTCTGGAAGGTAGGAATTTTTTTGCATGTTGCCTTTTCTTGATCGTTGTACATTTACACAGAGGCAATAGACATTTACACCAAATTTGCCCCGAGACCTTTTCTGACACTTCCGCTGAGCTGTGGCACCAAGCGGTTTATACAAAGGTGGGGAATTTTCCATTTAATGCTATGGATTTTGGTCTTTGCTCCTTTATGTGCAGTTTTTTGTGCATCTGAGTGACAGGGCTGTCGCTGTCTGTTTTGCAGAGATCGCCAGTCGCTCTGATGTGGAGGTCGAGGGGGACAAGAGGCTGGACAAGCTGGAGTCGTTCCTGGGCAAACTGCACAGTAAAGGTGACTGTTCTCAGGGCTGCTTCACAGGGAGGGGTTACTCACCTGCGGGAGTTTACAGAAAACCCAGACTGGTTAGAGAATGATGGGAGTGTGTTGCCCACCCTGGACCTGACACCCCAGCATTCTAAAACAAGTCTCCGTTTCCTCTGCTGATCAACCTTAAGACAACACAGCCTAGCAGTCCACCCCGAAGTTTCTACATCCGTTCAGGCGAGAGCAGCAGAGTGCTTTGTTTCAACAGTTAAAGCCCAATAGCTATCACATCCATGATCACATCCAGATCTCTTCTTCTTAAGTCTTCCCTTTGCGGTCTGTTGTCGGCAGTGGTTTTCTGGGAACGATGGCAGACGAGCAGCGAGCAGGGTGCTGCCTCCCCTCCCCTGTCACACTCCCCTCACCCGTCACACTCTCCTTCTTCCAGGCATGAGGCAGCAGGAGACCTCCATCACAGTAACCCAGGAGACGGTGAAGGAGGTGGTGAGGCCAGATGACGAGGAGACCTTCTCCAAGTTCTACCGCACTGTGTCTCCCTTGGCCCTGAGCCCCAGCAGCTCTGTGGAGATAGAGGAGGACTTCAGCGCCATCTTTGAGGCTTATACTCCCAAGTAAGCAAGGGCTGAAAAATCAGTGTAGCAAACAAACTGTACCTTATGGAAACCTCAGAGCTCAATGCTAATGTATCTGTTTGTTCTGGTAATGTAGTTTTCTCTCTATTTTATATTCTTAAGGTCAGTTTTGGGTGTTTTGCTGACATGATGTTTGTGTGCCCGAACTATGACACTTTATCCTTAATAAGAATGACTTCCGGTTCCAACAATGCTGATATAAACCTCCCTCCTGAGTGTGATAAAAGTGCACAAAGTTCCCTTCTGTTTTAAAGTTGCATCCATCTATTTTCAAAGTACTTCATCCCAGTCAGGGTGAAGGGGGAGCTGGAGCCGGTCGGTAATCCATGGGTGCGAGGCAGGATACGCCCTGGATGGGACGCTAGTCCATTGCAGGACACACAGACACACACTCACAGCAGGGCCAATGTTCCACCAGTTTCACAGGGAAACCTTACGAACTCCACACCGACAGCACCCCAGCAACCCAGGTCCCAGCACCACAAGGCAGCAGTGCTGCCCACTGCACCACCCTGCTGCACATGACGAGTTTGATCCCATAATGCAGAGTCAGTGAGGTCTTGAGGGCAAGAAGGATGCAGAACGGATTTTACTTTGCTGTATACTTTACATATTATTTTGGTCCATCTTAAACAGTGGAAATGTGGGATTGGCATCGCCATAAAACATGCAAAAAAATACAAATTACACTCAACATAAAATAAGTACACGTTAAAAACAAACAATAGTATTTATGCAGTACACACACACAGTATATAAGTACATACATCTTGCTCTGCCCATATTACACTATCATCACATTAACCCGATAGCAGACCAGAACACCTGGAGGAAACCCATGTGAACACAGGCAGAACCTGCGAACTCCACACAGAAAACTGTCCAAGCTCAGAACTGAACCCACCCAGCACTGCGAGGCAGTAGCGCTAACCACAGCGCCCATGTGCCCCCATGTCCCCCAGTTTACTGCTGAGAGATATCGGAAGGTGCTGGTTTACACACTGTCCATCAGAATTGCACACCGTGAGCCAGCGTTTTGCAGAAGTGTCGCAGGGTCCAAAAGCAAGACATAAATGTGACTAGTGATGTTTAGGTCCTTGCGGAAGGGTAAGACATTTACAGTAGATGTAGAAGTTTTGTTTTCATGCCACCCTGGGGAGACTGGTAGTGCTGTGGCTGGTGAAGACTGGAGTTCTGGTCAGGAAGCTCTAGGTCCCCTCGCTCGCCCCTCATCGCTCGCCAGGCCTGGGCTCGTGTCAGGAAGGCGCCGCGGCCGACAGGCTGTCCGCTCAAGGCCCGTGTCTCCGCAGGCTGACGTCCGCTGTAGCCGAGCACAAGCGCGCGGTCAGGCCCGCGAGGAAAACCCAGGGCTCCCGGAATCCGCTGCGGGCCCTGGCCGACCGGGACGACATCAGGCAGGAGTACACGGAGCAGCGCCTGAACGTGGCGGCGCTGGAGTCCAAGAGGATACAGGTGGAGAAGAGTGAGTAAGGCTGATGGGAGACCTCTGGCGTCAGGAATTGCGGAACAGATTGTGGTGGGAATTTTAAGCCCCACAGCCAGCTGGCCACAGTAATTACCTTCTTCACTAGAATTCAAAATACATCCAGCGTGAAGTCACAGAAATCGACTGAGCCATACCGTGGCAGTGCAGTGCTCCTGGGATTTCTGCTAGTCAGGCGCAGTTCATGTAGAAATCTCGAATGTAAACAGAAGATCTTTACTGCTGGGTTTAAATTAAAGGGAGATTGGCAGTGCAGGGATTGAGGGAAAGGAGGTTTTGTTCTTGAGGCCTGGTTTTTCCCCTGTAGGTCTCTGGAGGTCATTTTGGGTGCACATGTGCTCGGTGAATTATTTTTATTTTTATTGTTACAGAGGCTATTAAAAGTCACTCAACCCCTTGGACTTTTTCTTATTTTATTGTGTTGCAGTGTGGAATCGTATTGTATTGAGTTGATATTTTTTGCCATTGATGAACACAAAACACTCCATAATATCTAAGTATTAGTGTCTTTTGTGCACTTGATGCTGCTGCTGTGATCAGCTGTACAACAGGAGTCCCTTTGTGGATGACGATATTCTAAGGTTGTACAAGCATTGTAAGCACTTATTTTTGGTTTAAGCAGTTTAATTTTCCCTTATAATAAAACCACAGTAAATGTAGTGTGGCAGGAAAATCCTTCTAACTTTTTCCCTAAGACATATAGCACAAAAACTGCCTTTCTAGTATCACGTCAGACATTACTGCAGGCTTCAAAGGAAGGTGCCTGATCTTAATTTTTTCTCTGCCCTGCTGTTGCCTCCCCTAGTGGCAAAGCATTCCAGCTACGCCGATGTGGCGCTGGCGGGGCTGGCCAGCAAGGAGAACTTCAGGAGGGTGCAGCTGCGCGATGCCAAGTCCACCGAGCAAGTGACCAACAACAGTGCCCAGCCATTCAAGAAGCTGATGCTGATCCAGGTTAAAGGTCAGGCGCTTGTGCTTTGGACACTACAGGGATACAGGTCTTCTACCTTGCTCTCTGCTCTTGCATGCTGCAGACTGGCTTTATAAATCCATCCATCGTCTGAGCTCCCTCTTTTTTGCTGCAGGAGAAACACTGCATTCTTGACCCTGTTCTGGGACTTTTGGGCTCAATATGAGCAAGTAGCTTCCTAGCTATTCTGGCAGGGGGGTACAGACGCTGTCCTGACTGGGGGGTACAGACGCTGTCCTGACTGGGGGGG